CATACATTGACCATTATATAATGCATATAACTTATATGTTTCAGTATATGGATGTCTTGTTGAATTTTTACAGTTTTGAAACTGCAAGAACTAAATAGTGTGACTACATCGTTGGCCAGCGCGCGGTTGAGAATGCTGCCAACATCCTCATTAATGGATCAAGGAAATATAACAAAAAAAAGAAACAAGGCGAAAAGACATCAAAGCAATCCTCCTTGTGCCCTTACAAATCAAGGGAAAAATGTACCAAGACATTATGCATATTCATGAATACTTCTTATTGTTCTTCTAAAAGCTTTTTTTTTTCCGAAAGGAAACACAAGGAAAAATTTGAGGAAGGTGACCGAACTAGAATGCAATTGATAATTTTCGGAGACGGCATGAAAAATAAGCACCATGACAAGTTCAAAGGTCTTCGGTGTGGTGTTTATGACAAGTTGTACAAACAGCTTCAACGACGTGAGAGGTTAGAGGAGCTTCTCCTCCTAGATATAAACGAATATAATACTTCGAAGGTATATAAAAACAACATTCATTTAATATCGATAGCCGTATAATAAAATATCACTCTTTCTATAGACATGTAACAGCTGCTTGGAGAGCAACTTACAAAATCTCAGGCGTGGAAGCGGCGAAGATGAATGCAAGATCCAAGTACTAATTTGTAAAAGATGTAATATTTTTTGGAATCGTAATGTAATGGCCGCTAAGAACATGTTTACCATTGCTGAATCCATCTGGAACGGCAATGGTCGCCCTAATGTCTTCCAGCGACAAAGTGCCACCTCCAGTGTGGTTGCCGCGTCTCACTCCGGTGGGGCGCTGACTTAGAGATTTTATGGGTAAAAAGAGCAATTTATTTTGTATCTGAATCTCCTTTTTTATTTCATCCAAAAAAGGTAAGTTAAATATTTGAAAATTAATTTTGATTCGTCCAAAAAAAACTAACATTGTCTGAATTTAAAGTGCGAATACTGTAAATAAAGTTCACGCTTTCATACAAAAAAAAGAAACGAATATTAGTTTGTTAATAATATAATCTCTACACAAAAGAATACAATCAAGATGACCATTATGGTTAGAATGGCTATTAGCTTATAATTACAATTCTTTTTATGCAGTAATCCCACTGGTACTTTCTCGATCAAGTCCAAGTTATCACTAATCACATAAACAAAGTCACCTTCATGCAATATCAATGGCCATCGTCGTCTGTATCTTTCAAAGATAATATTGAGTTCGTTGCGTAGCTCTGATAGCACTTTACATGTATTGGCTAATACTTGAAGATCTTTATGAATATCTTGAACCGTGCTCATCCACTGTTGTATTCGTTCATCATTCGTCCTTTCTCCTCGTTGGAGTAGTATCTGTACAGGTAATGGAGGCGAAGTCGATTGAAAGACCTGTTCGATATCGATTGCTGGCTGAATCTGTTTGATTTGCTCCTCAAAAAATAACGAAAAGCGTCTCTGATTATCCAAGACGATGGCCATGTACATTTCTATGAGTACCTTGTAAGACTGAATCAGATGCTTGAACTTCCTGTTTCGTACATCCAAGTCACTTAACCATGGCTTAGATGGCTCCAAACTTTGAACAGCACAACGAATAGAGTGTAAAAACCTTTCTGCAGCCTGGACATCGCGTGCTAGGACTTTTCTACATGACACTGGTTTTTGATGTATGCTTTGTTGATAAATAATTGTATAAGCATCTTGTATCTCTTGGATCAAGCGGTGACATTGATTGATATGAAGTGTAGTATGCTCCACAATAATATTAAACTCAAGCATAGAATCCAGAGTTTGGAGTAAGTGATCTCGATCATTAGATAAGGTTAGATCCAAGTATTGCTTTTCAGAATTCATTATTTTTAAATAAATATATTAACACAAAAGAAGAGAACAAAGATCCACTTCGTCCTTTTCTCTCTCTCTTTCTTTTCCAGAATAAAGTTGGGCTTAGCTACGGTTTTATTATTAAAATAAGCATACAATCATCTGAGAAAATAAACAGTTTCATTGTTCCCTTTCTTAAAGTGTTCCCTTTGTAAATAAGTTACGCATCTTCTCGATACGTTCACTGTTTGTCTCTCTCTCTCATTTTGGTATATATACATGTATATAGAGAGAGGCCATATAGACACATATAAATACAACATTTCACTTCCTTTGCTAAAAGTGTCTGTGTGGCTTGGAAATACAATACAATCTCCATATTATACCAAACCTTTCTTTTTTATTTATTCTACAACTCATAGATCATGGGCAAAAGTGCAAAATTCTACAAGCGTCCAACAAAAAAAGAAAAGGAAGGTCAAGCATTAAAGAAACTGGCTGAGTCTTCTGTCATTTCAAAGAATAAAACAAAAAATTCAATAGTTCTACAAGCAGCACAGGCAGCATTAGCAAACAAAGATCAAATGGATCTTGATAAACAACCGGAGAAACCAAAGCAAGAGAAGAAAAAGACAGATATACCAGATTATGTAGACTTGTTTTCAGGGAAAAAGACATATAAAAAAGTACCAGCGAAGAGAAAATAAAGCACACTTTTTATTCAATTTGTTATAGAACAAACCTAATTTTTTTCAATTTGAAGTTTATGCAATGAAAAAAGTTCATAATGAGATTTTTTTTGGGTTTACATGAAGTACATAACCTTGGTGAGCTCAGGTTTGACAACAGCGAAGGAGGCAAGTTGTGCTTCAGAGTCTTGTGATTCAGAGGTAGCTTCAGTGTCAGACCAGTTCTCATTACGTCTGTGGAAGCGAGCACGAGCGGCAACCAAGTCAGCATAGTAGGCAGCTGGGACCAAAGAGACAGCACGAGTGGCACGACCATAGATGTAACACATACGGTAGGTCAATTCTTGAAGAGCATCGGAAGTGAACTTGTTTTCATCATACAATACGTGGTAGTGAGTAGGGCGAGAAGTACCCTGGAGACCAGCGTGAGACTGAAGGTAAAAGTCAAACTCGAAGGGATGGACAATGTCGGTGTCAATGACAGTACCAGGTTGACAGTTACCAGTACGGTCAGCATCACGTGGTTGGATAGGGAAAAATCTGGCATGGTGACGCTTCTGGACGACAACGAAGGTGATTGTGGGCTTGTAGTCCTTGTCCAAAGAGGTACAGGCAGCACGGATAGCGGCAACTTCGGAATCCATTACTTGCTTGAATTGACCTTCAGAGACACCATCACGATAGAAGATCATACGAACAGGCTTTTGACCAGAGGATTGATAGAAAGATTTGAGCAATTCCTTAACCATGTTGGCAAGATCGGCAATGATTTCAGTACGGTTAGCTTGGACACGGATAGCAGAAGCGTATCTGGAAGCACGAGCGTCCATAGAGGCACAAAGTGCGGCAACAGATGGACGGTTCATATCACCAGGAGCAGGATGAGTGACATCAGCACCAAAGACAATAGTGGGTACTTGAGCAATGAAAGGAATTTGTTCAGGAGGCAAGAACAAGTTCATACCACCCAACTTCACGTTAACCTTAAGACAGACGTTGGCGCAGTATTGCTTCTTGGCATCAGCAATGTGCTTAGATTGTACACATTGAGTAGCAACACCAATGACAGTGTCAGAGATTCTCTTGATTTCAGCATACAACTGAGTACCAGTGTTGGGCAAGATACAGAAGATCAATTGAGGATTGGCCTTGGCAGCGTTACCAGCCTTCAACCAGGCTTCCTTCAAGGTACGGTCAATGTTACCGTTGGGGTCAGCGTTCATGATAGGAGGTTGACGATTGACAACATTCAAACCGGTATCAATGAAGGTACGACACAGCTCACGGATGAAGTTGTTGATAGCGGGAGGAGGAACGTTGCCAGCAAAGTTGACGACGGACCAAGAGCCAAGATTGGCGCCTTGAGCGACTTTCTTGCCACGAAGGTTCCAAGCGCCGCCTTGAGGAGCAAAGACAGCTTCTTGAGAGGAGGCGTGATAAGAAATCTTGGGAGTAGGTAAGACACGAGCATTAATGACGGCCATTTCAGGCTTGACAGACAAACCAAATTGTTGTAAGTAAGGGTTATCACGGTACTTGAGAAGGTTCATGCCTTGGTTAATCTTGTTAGCACGAACATCGGGCTTTTGACAAGTGAACTTGATCATTTCAGCTGTCTGCTTTTCGTTCAACTTCTTCATGTGACGTTGACCAGGAAGAACTTCACAAACTTCCATAGGCAAGAAAATATCCTTTCTGACGGCAACACAAGGCAAGAAGGGATAGTTGAGACGCTTATTGTATTGCTTGGCAAAGTAGCTTGCAACAGACAATTCAGCACCAGACTCGTCCTTGAAGTTGGTATGGTCAGCAGTGCTACGAGTAAGACCAGTGATCTTGTACTTCTTCTTTGATTCACCACGGTGAGTGACTTGGATTCTCAAAGACTTCAAGATCTTTTCAAGCTTAGTCAACTCGCGGTCAGGGATACCACGACGAAGTTCATCCAAAGAGCGACGACCCAAGATCTTGGCAACAACTTCAGGCAAAGGACCAGATTCATAGAAAGCGGTAGCGGAGACATCAATGTTGATCATCATTTTACCTAATAAAATTAATCATGGTTAGTACGTCATAAAATATGATAAATCATTTTTTTTGTACCTACCGATAGTAGGACGAGCAGATTGGTAATAACCTTGCCAGACCTCGGCGCCGTTAGGAAGAGGACGTTTGTCAGCAGGAGTAAAGAAAGAACGACCGACAGTAGTATAGGTCACGGAAGGAACATGACGAATAAGCACATCCATAACCATGATGGCTATTTTTTTAGGAAATATGGTTAGCGTTACGCGTTTCCTTAAGAAAGTATTTTTTTTTTAAAAAAAAAAAAGTATAAATATTTACCAACTAAACAATTGGAGGTACAAGAAGATTGACCGTTCAAGAAGAGACGAAGTTCTTCCATATTAACTTCACCAGCCTTCTTGATACGAATCTTGAAAAGACCACCAGAGCGCTTTGAACCTTGTTCTTGAAGTTCAACCTATGTAAAGAATGTGAGCAAAATGTTGTCAACCTAAAGGGTTCATAATACCTCGAACTGCATAGCGTTCTCATCACCTAAAGGAAGAGGCTTGGGAGAGAAAACGTTTTTGCGGCCATCATAGATAGTCTTGATGCCTTTAAGGATACCTTTGCCATCCAAATCTTCAAAGGATTGCCAAACCTTACGATAGAGAGCAGGGGGAGCACTAGGGGGGTCAATAGTGATATCGTAGTGGTGGACGTTGCTCGTAGTAAAGTTGATAACTTCAAAGAAGTTGGTACGAACACGAATAGGCTTGCCGGTTTTGCCGCTGCCAGGACGCTTTACAAGTTCTGTAAGCTGTAAAGACATTTTTTTAAATAAAAAGAAAAAGCAAAAAAATAGATTTCTAGTCTCAGTAGCCTCTTACATTTCAAGTTCATATAATAGACAATTTTGATTGGCCTATAAACTAGGCAATGAAAATAGTTTCATACTTTTTTTGATAAACTGGCTTTTATTGTTTATTGGATATAGAAAAGTTTGTCTGGTACTAAGCGAAGAATGGCACCAATAGGGATTGAACATAGACCAATAAATACACTAAGTAACCAGTGTGAAATACTAAGTGGCACCGTCTGAAAAGCTGCACCACCTCGTTCTACAATGATAATCTGACCACAAACACTAGTAGTAAAAATGAGCATAAAGAATTTGTTGTTTCTGATTCCCTTGAATATATTAAGCTTATTGTCTATTCTACGACAACTACAATCAAAAACAATAAGTCATCTATTTTTTGTTCATTCTACTTATCAACTTACTTGATTTCATTAAATATTTGGCAAAATACAAATATGGTAAACACTACTGTCTGAAGTGTTGCTGGTTCATTTTTTAGTCCAAGAATGTTTGTATATAGAAATACGAGGATAACACCAATTTGATATATCGATTGTCCTATTATCATTTTCCACATTGATGTATTAATTAAAGGAGCACTCTTTGATTCGGGTGATCTTTTTAATAGATCAGTTGAAGGGGGATCTGTCGCAAGGGCTAATGCAGCAAATGTATCCATAATCAAATTAACCCAGAGCAACTGAACTGCTGTCAGAATAGACTTTTGCTCCTGACTGCCCATAGCTGATAAAATTGTCAGCATAACCGCAGTTACATTTACTGTAAGTTGAAATTGTAAAAATTTTTTAACAGAGTCATTCACACAACGACCCCATGAAATTGCCTTGACAATACTCGAAAAGTTGTCATCCATCAAGATGATACTTGAAGCCTCCTTGGCTACTTCTGTACCCGCAATGCCCATTGAAAACCCCACATCGGCTGCCTTGAGTGCCGGTCCATCGTTTGTACCATCTCCTGTGACCGCGACAACTTCTCCCAACTGCTTCAAATCGTTCACAAGCAATCTCTTATCTTCTGGACTTGATCTAGCCAAAACACGAAGTTGAGGTAGGATAGACTGTCTTTCCTGACGTGACATTTTTCTGAAACTTGACCCATCCAGAGCAATTGAACCATGCACGTAGATACCACACTGTCTTGCGATACTCTTGGCTGTCATCATGTTATCACCCGTCACCATACGGACACAAACACCAGCGCGCTGACAGGCTGCAACCGCGTCAGTCACACCTTCTCGCAATGGATCCTCAATGCCGACAATACCCAATAATGTCAGCTGTCCTTGTTGCAACACATCCTCCAATTGTTGATCAGCTGTCCAGTGGTCCATGTCTTGGTAACAGATTGCCAAGGTTCTTAAGCACCGTGTGGCATAACTTTGAATGATTTTGACCATTCTTTCTCTATTTGCCTCTGTCATGACTCTGGTTACAATCTTTGTTGCATCTTGCTCATAGCTTGTATCATGCATAGATACAATACGGCTGCATTGGCTTAATAAGACCTCAGACGCACCCTTGACATGCATACGATAAATGACACCCCCTTCTTCTTTCGATACACGAATCACTGTTGCCATTGCTTTTCGTGAAGAGCTAAAAGGAAACACAACTTCAATTGGCCATCGTGCACGTAAGAGCTCAAAGGGTTCAGAGTCTAAATGGTCTCTTGAAAAGTTCAACAGGGCCGTTTCAGTCTTGTTTCCCACCAACGTCTGCTGATGTGAGAACGCCGTTGAGTTTAAAGCCAGAGCTTGGTTTAAATATCGCTTGATCACCAGCGGAGCCTTTGTCCCAAGTTCATGCATGCCAAACAAATCTGGTCTTGACTTTGGGGGATCCTTCAAGAAGCGAAATGATGAACCAAGTGTACCGGCAACGACTGACATCTTGTTCTCTGTCAGTGTGCCTGTCTTGTCTGAACAAATTGTTGTTGCACTACCCATTGTTTCGCACGCCGCAAGGATTCGTACGAGGTTGTTATCTTTCAGCATACGTTGTGTAGCAAAAGCCAAAGCTGAAACACGTTAAATGAGGTTTGATTATTTTTTCTTTTGTTTTTACCTAAAGTCACTGCTAAGGGTAATCCTTCTGGAACAGCGACGACGATAACTGTGACAGTGGTGATGAGAATAGCCATGATATGAGCAACCACATCCGAAGGTACAGCAGATAATGAGCCCGTAGCATATCCAATAAAACAACGCACAATCAGCATCGTAAACAAAAAGGCTGCTGAAGATAGACCAAACTTGGCAATACTTGACGCCAAGATGTCGAGCTTGTCTTGCAAGGGCGTGTTTTCATCCTTGGTTCGAAGTGCCATCAAAGTTCTACCATGAAAAGAATACGGCCCGACAGCAGTGACCATATATGTACAAAGTCCCTCCAGAATTCTAGAACCAGAGATCAGAAATGGGTCAAGTGGCCTTGCTGTATCTTCATCTTCAGAAGAAGTATGAAAGTCATTCCAAGATAATTTACGTACTGCATCTGATTCACCTGTCAAAGGTGACTCATCGCATTTCAAGTTGTGGCCTTGTATAAATACACCATCTGCGCAAACAATGTCTCCAGGCTCAAGCTGAAGGACATCACCTACTTGTACATCATATACAGATAATAATACATGTTCTCCTGAACGAATAGCCTAAAAAGAAGGTATAAATAATATATTTTTTGGCTTTTATTTAATACCTTACGGTCACTTGGCGATCCTCTTTTTTGGCGTTCAGGTCTCGAAACTGCTTTTCTTTTTGATAATCATTCACACTGCTCACAATGACCACCAAGGATACTGCGACAACAATAGCCACGCCTTCTACCCATTTTACACCTGGAACTCGATTACCTAGCGCATCATATTCGACTATTGTCAAATCTTCATAGATGCCCACAGTGAGTGAAATGACAGCTGAAGCTGTCAAAAGCAACTATAGACAACGGTTGAGATGACTGCACAACACGCGTGCTTTCTCTCTCTTTTTTTTACCAATGTTTTATCTTGATAAGCTTCCCACATAATCTTTAATAAACTGACTGGCTCCAACTCTGGTAGTCGATTAGGACCAAACACATTCGTCCTTTGAACAAAATATTCTTCTTTATCATTATAAAGCAGCTTGTCTGGTGGCATATAATATTCATCTTTTGTAGGTGGCTGTTTTAGATCGTGTAGGCGTATATAGCATAAATTTTCTTCACGCCAGTCCAATCCAGTGTTTGTATTTGAGTGTAATCCTCTTGCGAGGCTATCAACGCCCCCAATGGATTCTAAAATGTCGAGTCGTTTATGATATACAATCGAATAGAGTTGTTCAGGTGAAAATGCAAATGGATTAGAAGGGTCCAAGTGCTGCTGTGTCAATTCGACAAGGGTTTCTTCGAATGCTGTCATTATTTGTATGTATAGGAAAAGACGCTAAAAAAAAGAAAAAGAGAGAGAAGGAGAGGGATAGTAAGATATATAGTCTATGGATATTAAAAAAGCAAATTAAGGAGATGTACCAAGGAGTGAGTTTCAGTTCGCAGCAAAGACAGAAAAAAAGATAAATGAAAACGGGAGATGATTTTAAGGAGGGCAAAAATATATTCGTGGTATATAAAAACAAAGCGTTAAAACGAAAAAGGACAAAAGAGAGAAAGAGCAAGAGGTGCATTAAGATTGCTTGATAAATGTATATCTATAACCTGTTATTTTCTCCTAAAAGAATGATCTGTCTTCGTCCCACGCTACTAATTATTTACTGCAAATTATCCAAAAGACAAATGCACTATTTATTCTTTTGGACACACGTCATTTGAGCCTCTGTTCAAGCAAACGGTTTATTGTAAAGTACGATAACCGTTTATTAAATATGCAACCAAGTAGAATCAAATAAGTATATGGTACGATTGATGATACAAAATCTGTAAAATGCTGCAAGTAAAAATACGCCTATTAGGAGTTGAATGCTTCTTTCCAACCGGTTAACATCTTGAATACATTGTTGAAAATTGTTGGCCCTAAGTTTACGCCTACTATATATATCAAAGATACGAACCCTAGTTAGTCCTTTGTTTTTCACTTGCGCCAAATTAAATCCAATCACACATGTTTCGTAAAGAGCGTAAACACGGACACTTAGCAAAAAGGACAATTGTCTAGTCAACTTCGTTGCTTTAAAAAAAAACAATCATCACTCTTTCTCTCTTTCTCTCTTTTTCTCTTTTTATTCAAAATATTTACATATAAGTTAAATGAACATAGCTGGGTGAATAATTTCCGTTTGATTTGATCTTTGCTCTAATTCAGCAGTCTTGTGAGAAAGAATCAAGTATTCCAATTTAATTTGTTGAGCCCGACGACGAATACTTTCAAGATGATGCCGACGTTCAGCCGCATCATTCTTGTGCATAATTTTCTTCATGTCCAAATGGTTGCCTTTATGCATAAATAGACGCTTAATCGACCAGAGTAAATTGTGTTTAGCAGAAGGCATGGAAGGTGTTTGAATGTGAATAGTTGGCATATTTCAAAGCAAGAAGGATAAAAGCAAAATTGTAAATAATAAGATCCAATTAAATTGTCACAAAAGGAACAAAAGGAATTTTACAGCAATCAAACCAGAACATAAAAAAAAACCAACGACGCATTTTTTATAAAGAAAGGGAATATTAGAGACAATTTCCATTTTTAAGCATCCTTGCGCACATAGTTTTACTGTTTATCATTTCTCAAACATAAAGTTGCTTGAATGAAACTGAATTAAAAGACATTAAAAAAAATCACAGACAAAATTCATGCAAACACCTCCCTATCTCGAATGTATATGAAATAGCCTTGGTTACCAAGGATATGGCCACATAAAGAATATCTATGGAAACATTGAATCTTATAAGAAATGGATTACGCGTCTAGGATGACGCAGTCGTGTCTTTTGAAAACCGAGACAAAAGTAGTAATTGTTGTCCTCGGCTTAATTTTTTCTCTCTCTTTTTTTTTCTCAATAAAATCAAAATGAGCGTTTCAGATCCACTTGATCCTTCGGCTGTTCTTCAACTTACTTCGCAAGTAATCACCCGACTTGAATCACCTTATGATGCATTAGCAGCTGCTATGCATGCGATTATGCTTAGTGTTGGTTTTAGATTTGCAGGACTAGGTGACGATGCCAGACAAGGTATATTTCTTTTTTGTTCATGATCGCAATCGAATGAGCTAAACTCCCCCTTTTTAGAGGGCGACGGCACGCAAAGAAACCTGCCAGTAGAATGGAATCAGCATGGACCACACTATTACCATTTTAGATATAGCCATCCACAGTCTAGTTTAACGTTTGTGATCAAGGTGGTGCGAATGGGCGATAAATGTGCTATCCTTGGCATAGGCATTGGTGTATGTCTCTCCTTTTGAAATATAAAGCATATTTATGCAATACTGACAGTGTGTTTTAGGATAACAAGACAGTTGTCTTGGATATTACCACTGAAGATTACACATCAGCCTCATTCTTCCCCAACGATCTTTCAAATGATCCACTCGTACATGGATTTATCTCGAGCAATCGCTTTCATGACTTTATCAAGACTGTCAAATTAAACATCATACAACGTCTGATACCTGGGCTGAATAAACCGGGATATGATGACAGTACAACAACAACAGCAACCGCAACCACAACGTCTTCCTCGGGAACAACTCCACCAGGAAACCAACCTCGTCAACCTCCATTCATGGTGCCTCAACCAATGCCTACAGATCCATACAGCGTAGGAGGAGACGATCTAAATCCATTTGGAGATAGACTACGCTTACCTGGGTAATACACTCATTCATTATAAATAGAGAGAGTTCTCAATTATAATTCATAGATCCCGAGGAACTGGAGGAGGTATGTATGTAGGACCTAACCATCCGATCTTCGGAGGCAGATTTGATGATCCACCTATTGGCGGCGGACCAGAAAATTTACCAAGGTATTTAAACAAAGTTAATATAAATCCCATGGAATAAAACGGCCTAAACGTAATATACACATTCTAGAGGTGCTGTGCCACCTGGTGCTCGATTTGACCCGATAACACCACCTGGGCCAAGATTCAATCCAAGGAACTTTAGGGCGCCAGGTAGTGGTGAACCAGATAATGATGAACTTCTTCCACCTGTAAGTGATTGAATTATAAATGATTGATCTACTCTGCTTATAATGTTTGCTTAGGACTATGACCGTATGTTTGGTTAAGATCTTCATCTTTTTTTTTATGATATTCATGTTTATATAATCCAAAAAAATGTAACCATTTGTTGTATAATACATTTTGCAAGTCAAACTATGATCTAAATATAATATGGTTATTACGTGGTGCGAAGAGCGTATGCCACACAGCCTGACGGGGTAATCTTTGGATTTAAAAAACCGCCCTTCCACATATATATAAAAGGATTATCTCTTCATTTCCCCTTTTCGTTGTTTTCATTCTTTAAATATATATATTCATGGATCCTTCATTTATCGTTTTCTCAGGTGGTTCTGCTTGCAACTTTATTAGTAAGTAGACGAGCAGCCTTGACGATATAAAAAAACAAGACTCATTGTAATGTAGCAAGTACATTTCAGACCATTACTCCAAGTGTATGCTATGTTCTAGGTGTATCTGACAATGGTGGCTCTACAGTAATAATTATATACAAACTCATTCATTACCCATCCTTATCTCCTTATTTCTAGAGTGAACTATTAAGAGTCTTGGGTGGACCCAGTATTGGCGATTTGAGATCTCGACTGACAAGATTGATCAGCATTGATGGTCTTGATGCAGAAGAACAAGCAGCCATAAAAGAATTACTCAGTTATCGTCTAGACTCTATAGGTGATGATAATGCCATACGTGATGATTGGTCTGCTATTGTCGAAGGCAGACACAGGTACAAAATAGAATAAGGAAAAGAAAAAGCGACGCTAAGACACTAGGCTTTTATTTTCAGATTGTGGGACAAGATCTCGATTGAAAAAAAGGAAACCATTCGAGGCTTTTTGGTGTCGTTTAACTGTGAAATATTAAAACGAGCCCATAAGCATTTTAACTTTCGTAACGGATCCATTGGAAACTTTTTCTTGACGGGTGCTCGATTGTTTTTTGGTTCTCTGGAAGCAGCCATCTTCTTGTTCTCGTCTATCACTGCTATTCGTCAACCTACCTGTGTCGTACCTGTGATCAACACGAATCACACAGCGGCCATTGCTGCTTTATTAGAAGATGGTCATATATTAAGGGGACAATGTGAAATCAGTCATCCTGGATATCGTCAATCGAGAAACAAGACCATGAACCCGATTGATGCCTTTTCAAAACTAGCCTTACCTAGCTCGCCTATTGTTGGTAATGATGAAGAGGATGAGATCAATGGTAATCTTATATTCAGCAAATCCACCGAGGAACAACTGTCTGCACCTATTTCAAGAATATACTACATGAATGAGTACGGTCAAGAGATCTATCCACTACCTAATCCCAAGGTACTCGATCACCTCAACACACGTACTGAGCTTGTCTACTCGATTGGCTCCCTTTACACATCCATCTTACCATGCCTCATCTTGCGCAAGATCGGACATGCGATTGCAAATTCTCCTTCCTTAAAACACAAGATCTTGATACTGAACGGTACTACTGATCGAGAGACGGATGGTTACACTGCACTTGATTTCATTGGCACCATCACCAATGCGTTGAATGAAAGCCAGCTAATTGATGCTCGACGCGCATTTTACGATTCACACACAGAAGAAGATTCCACATTTTATACCAGACCTGTTAACTATGGTTTTAGACAATGGCCACCTCTTTATAGATTACGTACATCCTGTGGGTTACAAGAAGGATACACAGGTGCAAACAGCCCTCGTGAGCGTTCGACAGGAGCGTCTACGCCATTCCCTCCTGAACTCGTGCCTAATGAGCCACCGTCAAGGTATATTACACATTTAATTTATCTTTCTAATTCACGTAAGTTCCTCTTTTTTTTTTTTTTTCTATCTTTCTGATATAACAAATCTCATATATATTTTTTAGAGGTACCTGTTGATCGAGAAGCAATCGAATCTCTAGGCATACAATGTGTAGTTGCAGATCCAGATCCAAATTCAGAGGAGCCAAGGTATCATCCTGGACTCTTGCAAGAAGTGTTGTCAGAGATCATTGCTCAAAAATAAATGGCCTTGAGGCTCTAAAAATAAATATTTTTTAAACAATGCTTTCTCTTTCGGACTTAATGATTTTCTTTTTTAATCCATTGACCGAGATTGCCCATAAAATTGAATGCTGCTATAAAAGGCAACTGACGTGTACATTTGTTTTCTCTTGTATCGCGTTTTCTTTAATTAAAGACATCAATAAATCTGTTTATACTTAATATTTCATGCATGTATTTTAATTTTATTTGTTAAACAGAATAAAGAAATCATGATTAACATTGTAATCAGTACATCATCTTTACTGTCTGATAAAATTAATTCAACTCGTCTATTGTTGTATTTTTTTCATTGACATAAAGAAGAAGTTGTCCTTTTTTTCTTTATAATAGATTAGCTTGTAGCTTTCATTTTAATTATTTGATAACCTTTTAGAGAGTATATACGCTTGCAAGTACACGCTCATGATATAAACATTTATATTGATATAATCTTTAAGAAGTGATAAATCCTGATGTCAGCATTATCCCTGCTTGACGCTATCCTATATCTATCCTACATCAATCTGAATTATTCCGTTTAACCATTATAGGAGAAAAATATGTAATTTCAATATTAAAAGAGAGAGAGACTGAGAAAACAAAGAAATGATATCAGACACGTGGCAAACAATGACAATCTTCCCCTGTGTTTATAAACACAAAGAAAATAAAGGAAGAAGAGGGTTGCTCAAAGAAGGAAATGTTTACTTTATTCTATCGCCCATTAGTACCGTGAATACTTTAATGGTATTAAAGCCTCATCATCAATTTCCCTTTATAACTTGACTCGTACCCCCAAAGTGATACAGTGGCTATTACCCACACATAACCAATAACATTGAATTCCGAAAAAACTATAAAGGAAACCCTTTTTTTCTTTTCTTCCTTCTTTCTTTCTTTCTATATCTTTTATAATGAAAATGACTGGATCGTTTACTCTTGTCAAAACTCCTGGAAAAAAGATATCATTAGAACAATATGGTCATACTTGTCCCAAATGTAAAAGCATTGAATCAGTTCGACTGACAAGATCAGAAAGACGATGGATCCTGTTTAATAAGTGCATATCAAGTATCAATCGAGTTCGATATGAATGTTCAAGTTGTAATTGGAAAAATGAACAGTTGCCTCAGCCCAACCTTCCGTTTGAACTAGATGATCCTTACTGCTTAACATCACCATCAACACCATCGACACCATCATCTCATAGGCTCTCTTCTGCATATTAGAGTCCATGTATCTTATTTATTCTATACATACCAATATATGTATATACCACAAACACACAAGCATCCCCACAATCATTCTCTTTAAACACTCATCTTGCTGATTTTATTATTATTCTTTGTTATTTTCTCTTTACATAAATAAAAACACTCTTACATATACTTCTTATGAAGAGGACATAATACTTCCTGTTGACTTTGTTGATACAATAGACATTCTCTTACGTCCATGAGTGGTTTTTCCTTTATCTGTCTTTGGCTTGATTGTCTCAGGTACACCTAGATCGATCGAGTGTTGGATGGCAAGATTCAGGCGCTATATATATATATATACATGAGATCATGAATTTACTAAATATGGTAAGTGATTTTTTACCGTAGCCAGTCTGTACTCGAAATCGTAGTTTGAGTAGGTTAATGTCGATTCCCAGAGATACCTTGCTCGTTTGTAATCTTTCATGCCCCAGCAAGTGTTACCGCATTCCCTAATCGAGTATGGTGAGTTGAAGATAATATAGAGACATGATAATGTTACCAATAAGCAAATGGAGCAACCCAGTTGGTATGCTTAAATTTATCCTTGTTGTCAACGATCCAGTTCAGATGAACCACGCCTTCTTCATATCTATTCAGTGAATTCAAAATGGATGCTTTCATGAGCAATAGGGCACCACGTTGATCATTATAATCAGGTTTAGCTGTCATGGGCACTAACTCGACTCTTCGCAGGTCATATTCCATTTTTTCACGCTCATAGATCAGTTCGAGTGTCGATTCGACCAACTCTAGGCACTTTTCAAGTGTTGAGGATTCCATACAGGGAAACGCGTTCCACACAAACAGAATTTCGAGGGCAGGCAAACTGAAGTCAAGGTCTTGATAGCCACTGACCTCGAAGAAAGCAACACGATTCGAAATGTACTGCTCCATTTGAGAGTTTCGCTTTTTGTCGATGAGCTTGGGCGCCTCTGCAAATGCCAGAATAGCCTCGGTTCGGTTACCGAGCATCTCCATACAGGCACCATAAAAATATTTGAGGAACGCAGGTGAGTTGTACTTGGTCTGGAGCTCAAGGATACGGACAGCAGCACTTGCCCAGTCAAGACACATGGCAGAGTTAAAGGCAATTTCAAATGTTGCCAGGTGACCTACCTCGGGCCAATCGCCTTGAGTGACTTCGTACATGTAGACAAAGGACTGTGTTGACAGTGGCAGGTTACGTGCCAGACGACTGACACGGCCAGCAAAGAACAGGAAGAAGGCCGAGTTGGGATAGTGTTCTTGGGCATCGAGTAAGCACTCGATGGCAGGTTGGATCAACTCCCGCGTAAGGATCTGTGGCGCATATGACGTGAGGATCACGTAGTAGGATAAAAGCATAAGTGAAGCGAGCGGTGATCGGATACGTTTGCCTTCCAAACATAGCTTGAGAAGAGCAAACCCTAGATGCTTATCGGCCGTCCAACCGAAAGCGGATACAATCTTTAGGACCTTGGGAGGCAAAGAGGATAGCAACAGATGGACGGCGCCAATGCCAAATTGAATGCCCGAGACGGTATCTTGATCGATGTACTTGTTGAAGTTTTGACCCATGCGTTTATATTCTTGCCACACAAGACTATAACTTGTATAGGCTAATAGGTGATGTTAGGTTGACATGTATGCCTTTTTTCCCTTTTATTGATTACCTCTGCGAAGGTTCCATCCCGCTTTAAGATAACCAACAACAGTTTCCAATGATAGATATGTCATAGCCATCAGTAAAGCACATTCGGCTTTCACAACATGGGCCCTAAGCGCACCATTGGGTAAGAATTGTTGTTCCTGTAGTTCCCACTTGTTCAAAGGTCGTGTGTTGGTAGGAAGATGAGTTGAGTTGGTTCCCATGAGATTGGTGAAATAGTGTGATACCGTATCCTTCAAGGGCTTTTTGGCATATGCAGCTTCAATTTGAGCATTGGCAAATAAATAAGTTTCTGTCAAGTTGGAAAGCGCAGCCTCTACATCCTTTGAGTTATATGACTATCAAAGCTGTTATGTGTATAATTCCAGGCTTGTGATCAATTTGACTTACAGAAATTGCTATTTTTTATAGTTAGACAATATTCATATACCGCTTTATAACAAGACAGTTTACCTTTGACAAATGCCATTGAAGATAAACCCAAGGCATACAGTGGGTCTCTACAGTCCTAATCAGCTCCCTTTTTCCTTTTTACAAGATTTTTTTTAATTTACTCTTTAGATTTTGTTTCAAAGATAGCCTTGGCCTCTGAAAACTTGTTGTTAAAAAACAATTGAACACCTTTCAACATGTCCTCATCTAAAATATAAGCACTGATCAATCACTTTTCTCTTTCTTTTTCCTTTCAAATATACTTACCATAAGCCTCTTGTTCTCTTGGTCTCATCACGTTTGGTTTAACTCGAGTAAAGTCAATATTGGATAAAGGAATAGCACCTGTGGGTAACCTCTTTTGTTGCTCATTCGACTTTTTTTCTGTTTCTATGTGTTCTTTAGCAGCGTCATGATCCGCTAAATCATCCACTTCCTCATCGATGCCCCCTAACGTCAGCGGTGGACTTGGGGCAGCGCCTGGTGTAGGAGGCGTGACAAAATCGGCCATGTTCTGGCCGGCCGGCAAATCAATAGAAGTACGTATTTGTTCTGTTATAATCTGTAGATTGGTTAATGGCTTTGGCTTTGGAGAATTGGGTGCACTGGTTGCCATCAATGTTTCTTTGTCGACCTCTTCTTTTTTATGATTTTCTTCTGACTCACCAACTTGCTTTTGTTCTGGCTTGTCCTCGGCTATTACGTCTTCTTTAATAGATAAGGTATCTTGAAGTTGGGTTATCACAGAGACTAGCTCTGATTTATCTTTTTGTTCTTCTGCAGCAAAGAATTCATCATCCTCATCCTCTGTCACTTGGTCTACTTTAGAGTGGTCTTCTTCCTTTAAACTGGATGGCTCCATCGGTATATTTTCTTTTTCTTTCGAGATACTTTGATTATCAGTCATATTATAGAATTGTATTAATGTATTAGAAGAGAAAGAAAGGGAATTAATACCTGGTTACAATAAACTTTAAGTAACCTGAACACAGCATTTTCAGTTAAAAGTCAGCAGTTCTAATTTGTCCTCTCATTCGTCCATTTAAAAAGCACCTTTTCTCTCTTTCTCAGTAAGGAATACACAGTGCCTCCGATACTAAATGATGCTACTACAGATTCATCGACATATGCATCTCTTATATCTCAGTGTGGTGCATACCATTGTGCAGACGTGATGAGTCTAATACTTGCATCACCTATGATGCAAATGCTGTGTCGATGTGGACAGTGCAAGTAGCAAAACCCGACAATTTCTGCTGTTATCAACTTCTATAGTTGAATTAAAACCGCGCCCTAGGGTCTTCTTTTTATTTTTTATGAGCCTAGCGACTATTGTCAATTCGAGGATACTACCACCTCATGTGCCCATAATTTTAAACAACAGAATCGTTTCGCGAAGTATTTCTTCTGCTCCACCTGAGCCGGGAACTATCGGTGGTATAGTTGCTGCCATTGCTGAAAAACTTGGCATTGGAGAGTAAGTTTGGTTGATGATCTATATTTTCAATATATTTGACATTTTGTATAGATTAGCCACAGGTGGCCTGCAATTAGCCGTCCTTGGAGGTAATCACATCATGTTCTAATTTATTTTCACCTTTTCATATATCTATATTTTTATGTATAGGCGCACTAGCTGGATTCAGATATTTTGGAGGATACATTATCGAGTACTTGAAAAAGAAAACGATCGTCACTGCTGATTTTGATAGTCGAGACGAATCATACAGGTTTTTTAATACAAGAAAGAATAAAAGAAGAACACAGCTAATAGTTCCATCAGTTGGATACTGAATTGGTTAAATGATCAACCATACAGCAAAATAACTTCTCGATTTTCGGTATCGACAAGTATACTTCGTGCAGGGCAGAGACTACCTGGTGAAGGATTGGATGCACTTACGCCTCCTGTATACTTTTTACCGTCGCCAGGTAACAAAAGAATAAATACATGCAATATATTTTATATATAGCACAATAGGCTTTCATTTCTTCATGTACAAGAACCGTCTTGTCTGGTTGAACCGCCATCGACCAGGCAGCTCATCCTCTGGTGCTGCAGCAGCTATGAATCCAAATGTTATTCTTGAGAGAATAGAGATCAGTACGTTTGGACAGTCAAGAGAATTGATTCAATCATTAGTCTATGAGGCACAAAAGAAGTTTATGGATAGGGATAAAAGCAGAACGGTCGTGTTTGCGGCAGACCAATATGGTGCTTGGCGTCGCACACGATCACGGCCAAAACGACCACTGAGTACAGTCGTGATACCTGATCATGTCAAGACAACGTTGGTAGATGATGCTCAAGAGTTTTTGGTTTCGGAGCAATGGTACAGTGATCGAGGTATTCCTTACAGAAGAGGTTATTTGCTCTATGGAACACCAGGATCTGGTATATATATACTTGATGGGACACACGGCAAGAAAGAGACTGACAAATAAATAGGTAAAACAAGTTTTGTATATTCTCTGGCTGTAAGGGCACCGGAAACTAGAAAAATCCCAAACTGTAATAACGATCTGATAGGGTGAACTTGGACTAAATATCTATGTGGTTAACTTGAGTAATAAAAGCTTAACAGATGACACATTGGGTGAGCTGGTATCAGATACACCTAGCAGGTAAATAAATAATAGAAGCAAATAGAAAAAAAAAAAAAAAAACTCATGCACAAGATAGATGTATTTTACTAATTGAAGATGTTGATGCAGCCTTTATTCAAAGAGAAAAAGGAGAAGGCACAACAGCAAACAACATCACATTTTCAGGTATAAAGCTACAAGACATAAACATGGGACTGATCAAACAGCATATAATAGGTCTATTGAATGCCATCGATGGCGTAGCAGCACAAGAAGGTCGTATATTATGTATGACTACGAAGTAAGTTCACTTCAACTTTCTTACTCATCCATTAAATATAATAAAGTCATTTAGAGAGACTAGATCAAGCATTAATTCGTCCAGGCAGAATTGATGTCCGTGTCCATTTTGGAAACGCTACACAACGCCAAGCACAGGAGCTCTTTAAAAAATTTTATCCTAATCTTCCCCAAGACTCAAAGCTCCCAGAACTATTTGCTTCCAAGGTTCCGCAAGAAAGATTCAGCATGGCCCACTTACAAGGCTTCTTGATGAGCCATAAGCAGCGACCGGAAAGAGCTGTGGAACTGGTTGATGCATGGGTTGAGGGACATGACAAGGGCATATCTGATCATTCGACACAGGCTGCACCTGAAGATCTTTAAATAAAACGTTTATTGTTGCTGTCTCTTTTTAAACTCTTGGACGATTTTATCAGACGAAGAGGATCCAATACGCGTAGAACCCAAGCTCAAGAACTCAAGAACTTGGTCCAATGTCTTGATTCCACCCGAAGCTTTGACTTCCATAGATTCGGGTACATTAGCCCTCATCAACTTGATGTGTTCTACCGTTGCACCTGCGGAGGCAAACCCTGTTGAAGTCTTTACGAATTCGGCACCTACAGCTCTAGAGATTTCACAGGCCTTGATGATTTGTTCGTCAGTAAGATAAGCCGTTTCAAAGATGATCTTGAAAGTCACGTCCTTGTTCTTGACTCGACTGGCCTGGATAATGTCTTGCAGTTCTTGTTGTACTTCTGAGTAGAGACCAGAACGTAAATGACCAATGTTGATTACAATGTCCAATTCAATAGCTCCATCCTCGATAGCTTGAAGGGCTTCAGCAACTTTGACAGGAGCAGGTGAATTGCCATGAGGGAAAGAGATGACAGTACCTACCATCACATCACTGCCTTGAAGAAGCTCGCTTGCTTGTTTTACGTCACAAGGCTTAACACAGACAGAGGCAACATTGTATTCACGTGCAAGGTTACAACCTTGAATCACATCGTCCGTAGTTTGATCGGGACGAAGAATAGCGTGGTCAAAAACCTTGGCAAGCTTTTCGGCAGTGAGTGTTTTGACTTCAATGACTGTCATTACGCGAATGTGGGAAAAAAAATAGAACCAGCAAAAAGAGAAAGAGAGAGGAAAGGGGAGGGGATAGGAATATGTAAGTCACAGTTGTTACACCATATTATGCGTAGAAGAGGACACAAGGAAATGAAAGAAAATAGATGTTTATGGCTTCCAGAGAATATCTTGGCATAATGAAATTGTTCCACTATTTTCTAAAGAAAGAAAGAGATTGACGTAAATTGACTATTTTTAAGGCCAGTTCAAACAATAGCCCTTTTCTTTTGCTTTCCTTTATTTTCTGATGCATATTAACTCACCACTTCCTTCAAGTTTAGCATGTAAGTCACTTTAATATGCTATTATATCACTAACTTTCAATAGCCGAGTGTCGAAAGGCAGCTAGAATATTAAATAGTTTTCAAGGTTTGATGAAATAGGGAAAGATATACTCTTTATATTAAATGGATGATAGACGCTGGCAGTGGAATAGACATCATTATTCCTCCCAATATATTATCCAACGCAAAGGGATTAGCAATATTTACTGTATTAAAAGCAGGATTTCTATTTTCGGGTCGAGCAGGTTCAGGTTTAGTTGTTGCAAGGTAAAGATTTACATGGCTGTATATGGGCTCTTTATCTGATATCTGCTTACATCTATAGATTACCTGATGGATGTAGGTAAAATGAATATATATAAAGTTTGGTCTATTCATTATACTCTTTTAGCCTGGTCTGCTCCCTCTGCTATCATGACAGGCGGTATGGGCTTTGGCGGCCAAGTAGGTAACTATTGATCAATAAAAAAATACGCATATATTTATCTCTACTTGTGAACAGGTGCGGAACTGACAGACTTTATTATGGTTTTGAACACTACGGCTGCTGTAAAGAGCTTTATGGATCATGGATCAATTACCTTGGGTGGAAACATTTCTGGTAAGGACCATACAATTATACATATACACATAAAACTAACCTTTTACTCTTACTATGACAGTGGCCGCTGGACCTATTGGTCGAAATGCAGAAGCATCAGGCACTGCCTCTTATCGGACATTAGCAGCAGTTTATTCTTACAGTAAGACTAGGGGTCTATTCGCAGGAGTATCTTTAGAAGGTTCAGTGATCATTGAACGATTTGATGCAAACAAAAAAATGTATGGCCACAAAGTCAAAGCAAGGGATTTACTCACTGGCGTCATTCCACCTCCGGATGCTGCAGAGCCTCTTTATACTGCGCTACGCACAAAATGCCAGCCGAGTACTAATGCAAGATTTGGATTCATGGAGCGTGATTCATTTGACTATCGTTACAATGATCATTACGATCACCGTGATGTTATGCAACCTTCACCTACCAATCGACCATTAAGTCGAGCAGCGGTGCATCAGATGGCAAAGACAGGCACCTATGCGTCACCAAGCCTTGGAACACCAAGCTATGGAACGCCAACTTATGGAACACCGAGGTTGAACGCTAATAGCAATGATAATAGCAGTCGAGACTTGGTATTATCAAATAGAGACCGTCAAATGCCTCAAGTGAGGGCATTATTCAACTTTAAAGGGGAGCAAGAAGGTGATTTAGCATTCCAGAAGGGAGACATTATCACCATTATCAAGAGATCGGATACACAAAATGACTGGTGGACAGGTCGATTGAATGGAAAAGAAGGCATTTTTCCTGCTAATTTTGTTGAAGACATTTACTAATGTACACTTTATTGAAAAAATTACTTTACTGCCTATCTATTAAATGTATGTATGTATGTGACAGAGAACGTATCCAATATAAGATAACTTGTAGGTTATTCGTATCAAAAAATTATGAGCCTATTACTCTCTTTCTTTCTTCCTTTCTCTTTTTAATTAACCTTGCCAACAATATTGACATGTTTAAAAGTATTATTCAAAAGAAGAAAGCTGGTAAGAAACATAGATGACGCGTTTAAAGGTGAACCTCATATAATGTATATGACATTTGCAAAATATTTACTAGTTCATTGATATATAATATATAGATATGATTTGTAAAGATTGTCAGGAGGCAGAACACGCAAACAGAAGTTACTATAAATGCAAAATTTATAAAGAAGCTTCTGCAAGGGAGATTCTTGGCGCACGACCAAAACAAGTTGTAAACATATGGTCAGTTCTGATTGGCCATGTAGTAGTCCATTGATATAAAATACGAATATATCATAACCACACTTAAATGGATCTTGGTTCTTTGTTGATCAAACTGACAACATAAAATTAAAACAACATTTCTTTTTATCTTCTTCTTCTTCTTCTTGAAAATAATACAAACCAAGATGGTGAAAAGTTTTGCTGGAAGGCATCATAGGTAATGGGTAGAGGTAATGCCCGTAGAATTGGTCCGACTTCTGGTGTATTTTCGCGTGTGCGTAGTGTTTCCTTTTGATTTTATCTTTTTCATCTCGTAGATACTTTGTGTATAAGCATGGAAAAACAGCCTCTACTGGAAGGCAGTAAGTAAGTATTACTTTGAATAAAAAAACACGAGAGCCATGCCCTTAAACTATTTTGCCTTTATATAGCTGAATTTGACGCAGCAAAAATATTTTTATATCAACAACTTTCTTCAGTCAAGGATCGGTCAAACGTGTTTTTTTATAGAAGCGATTAGTAAAGCGTTTCGATTTGCATCACACGATACCGCAAAGGAGAATATAAGCCATTTGTTGTCCACTTTCTTGAATGAAATTGTTCGTGATCCCAAGTCAAGAAAGAAAACTTTGTATAATGGAAAAAAATTGAAATCGCCGTGAATAAGATTAGGAAAGAAGCCAAAACTATGTGAGTCCCTCTTGGAAAGACATTTATTTTAAAGATGCTGTACAATAATTATCCTTGTGACAAGCATTTGTTTTATTGTATTTGATCCATGAGGTGCTTTTCTGTCCTTTTACTTACACTCTCATACTCTCTCGATAAAAGGACCCACTCTTTTACAATCTCTTTTTCTTTCCTTTTCTTCTTTAGTTATTATTATTATCGTTCATTAAAGTTGTATAGATAAGCTGGTGCTTAACAGCCAGAACCAGTCAATCTTCTATAACCAATGTCCTTGCTTACCTTGATCTATTGGGCAAGACAGACATATATATATATAATTACGTAATAAAATGAAATGCTTATTAATGTCTTGGTTTAGAGCTGTCAGAATGTGCCTTCTATTACAAATCATGCTATGAGAGCATAATACATTTAACCGAGCTTACTTCACTGTTTACTGCGAAGATACAGTAACTGACTATATACAACGCATGTGTCTCTATGTAATTTTATATTTGCCTTTTGAAAAATGTCTAACAACGTTTCCAAATAACTTCACTGTATCTCATTTCACAGTTTGCAGCGATCTCTAGCTATCCTTGCTGACAGACAGTCATTTTTCACAAGCCGATTGCGTAGGATGACTTTAGCAGCTGCGGGATAAATCAAATGATTTGTTTAAATGCAGTTTTTGTTCATTGTCATCCAATGGATTGTGTGATAATAGTTAACCTACAACCAATGAACATTTAAATAATTTTGAACAAAACTAACAATGAAAAAATATCCTTTTCCATGAGTGAAAAAGGAAGAAGAAGGGGGATGGATATTGATGACTACGTCATTCATTCACTTCATTGTAATTATCTTCAAACATCATTTGTGGGCACAGCTGCTTAAATTGAGTCTCCTTACTTTTTTTCTATCTTTTTTTTTTTTTTTTTCATATAAAATGAGTTCTGGTAGTGATTGTGAAGACGAATATATGGTAAATAATGAGCTTTGGTTTTTCTTTTTTCTCTTTTTTCTTTCTTTCTTCTTGTATAATAACAACTAATGTCATAGTATGAAGACGATTCTGATTTTGTGGAATCCATGAGTGGTAAATGGGTAGGCGTTTAATTTAGTAAGAATCAAGACCCAAAAACTGACCACGTAAATATTTATGTTTATATAGAAAGATAAATAAAACTATAAATGAGACTAATAAATAAAAAACAACAACACAACAGAAAGTGAAGCTTATGATCACGATGAAGAAGACGAACTATTTACAGAGAAACAACAAAAGAAGGCTTATGAAGTAGACTATCAAGTACTTGATTCTTCTAATCTCAAGACGAAACAAGATGCAGAAATATCACAAGTATCCATGATTCTAGGTAAAAACATATAAATACACACCTATTTAATACAAGTATTAAACTTTCTCTCTCTTTCTTTGTAGGTCTTTCGTCTGAGGATGCTGCTACCTTACTGCGCTTTTTTCGTTGGAATAAGGAGAAGCTATTTGAACAATATATGGATTCATCTGAGAAAGTATTGAAACAGGCTGGTGTTTCATCCGCTACAAACCCTAATCGATCATGTCAACTAGCTGCCGAGTTGGATAATTTTATGTGTGATATATGTTGCGATGATTCTCCTGATATTGAAACCGTTTGCTTATCCTGTGAGCACAGGTTCTGCAGAAATTGTTATACGCATTATCTTTACCAAAAGATCAGAGAAGAAGGAGAGAGCAGAAGAATACAATGTCCAGAGAGTGATTGTACGTTGATTGTGGATGAGAAGACAGTCGAAATGCTCGTCAGTGATGACATTTTTTTCAAATACCGTGAACTACTAAACAGAACTTTTGTGGATGATAACGACTTTTTAAGATGGTGCCCCGCGCCCGATTGTCAGTACGCCATCGAATGCAATATTCCGAGTACTTCGCTCATGTCGGTCGTACCTACTGTCGAATGCAAATGTTCACACCGTTTCTGCTTTGGATGTGGGTTAAGTGACCATCAACCCTGTATCTGTATAATCGTCAAGAAATGGTTAAAAAAGTGTGAGGATGACTCGGAAACAGCCAACTGGATCTCTGCCAATACGAAAGAATGCCCCAAGTGTCACTCGACTATCGAAAAGAATGGTGGTTGCAACCATATGACTTGCAGAAAATGCAGATATGAGTTCTGCTGGGTTTGTATGGGCCCTTGGAAGGAACATGGCACCTCTTGGTACACATGCAATAGATTCGATGAAAGGAGTAGTGCAGAAGCAAGAGATAATCAGACGCAATCAAGAATCAGTTTACAAAGATACCTTCATGTAATATAAAACTTGTATATTAGTACTGTATCCTAATATCTTTATAATAGTATTATAATCGTTATGCAAATCATGAACACTCTGCCAAATTAGATCAAGAGCTATATCGAAAAACAGAAAGAAAAATGGAAGAGATGCAGCAGACAAGCGATCTTTCATGGATTGAAGTACAGTTCCTTAAAAAGGCCGTAGATGTCACTGTACAGTGCAGAACTACATTAAAATGGACCTATGCATTCGCCTTTTATCTTGCAAGAACAAACCAAACAGAATTATTTGAGGTAAGGTTTCTTTTTTTTTTTTTTCTTTTTTCCTTCATTAAATTAATACTTTATAGGATAACCAAAGAGACTTGGAATTGGCAACTGAACAGTTGAGTGAGTTACTGGAGAAACCACTAGACCCAGACCCAGAAAAGATTGCCAGATTGAGACAAGCAGTGTTGGATAAAACGGTCTATGTCAAGTTAAGAAGAGAAATACTATTAGAGGACACAGCTAAAGGCTTGCAAGAGGGAAGATGGACTTACTGCATTGATCTTAAATAAAAGGGTTTTTTCTTCGAATTATCTGCATTGTATACCGATTTTATTGATTTCATTATGTTAAATAAACATTTTCTTTTATTAAATGATCCCTCCCTTAGTGAATATTTCACAAGATTCACTCTTTTAGTGTAGAACTCATCACTATTTTTTTTTTTTTAAAGCAAGCTGGATGTTGCTTGTTCGTCCATAATGATATCATTGGGATCCAATAAAAGATCACGTGAACTGAACCTTTTATATTTTCTCTTACTACAGTCATCAATGCAAATCAAACGTACAAAATGAATCAATTAATAATAAAAACAGGAATGACTCACCTCTTTTTTACTTTTTAAGGACAAAGATCTAATGATAGCTTATCTTTTGCTCCCAATGACTTTCAGTTCAATTTTGTTCCTAAAACTCAATCTAATCAACGCATCTTTGATAGTGACATCCCGGAAGCTACTAGAGAACTAAGCGCAATCACACTAACAAAAAGATACCAGAACCGTATAAAAAAGCAATTCAATATTCATCAATGGACTATACCACGGCCAACTCCAAATCGACATGAATCAGTCTTAGTAAAGCATCAGAATGTCGCATATACCCTTGTTATTTATTCTCAAGCACTCTTTAATATTATCTTATCTCTTGCTATGCTTTATGTATTTATACAAATCATTGTGATTCTCAGACATGATTTTAATATCAAAGTCGATGAGCAGTTGGAAGGTATAGTGTATTGCATTGAGCATTAAATATATCGACTAATTTTTATATAGGAATAAGACAAGATATTAAAGAATGCACAAGGAATTATGCACTAAATCACTGTGAGCTAGTAGAAAAAGTACCCGCTATCGAAAGATTGTGTCAGGATTGGAAAGTGTGTATGGAGAAGGATGTTGTGGTTGCAAAGTAAAGAATGAATATAGTAAAGTGAGAAGCATTATTATTAATGCATTGATAATTAGGGCAAAAATATCAGTAGAAGTGATTGCAGAGATTATTAATAGCTTTACAGAACCAATATCATATAAAACCATGGTGAGCAATTCTACTCTACATTACTAGCACTCTAACTTATAATGATGTAGTTGTTTTTTTCAATTTTGACCGTTGGCTCGCTCATCTTTTCAAATATGGCAATTGGAGTCTACAAAAAGAATCATACAAGGCATGAACCATTGGCTATTACACATCATCAAAATTCATTTAACAGCAAGAATTAATTATTTTACATAAACATGTAGATCAAGCATAATATCTTACAAGCGTGTGTGTTTATGTGTATGGCAGCCATTTTGATCTCAGACTGTCTTTTTTTTTTGGGACAAAGAACAAATTAATGCTCCCTGCAGCTATAGATCTGTCTTTTTCTTTGCTTTCGTGTTGCTATGCAAGACATAGAATATGAATATGAATCTTTGGGTGCAAATTCAACCATGACTCAGAATGCAATTGCAGGCGCAATGGCAGGGATTGGAGAACACTGTATAATGTATCCTGTAGACAGTATTCGGGTATGCGTGTTTTTTGTTATTTTTCGTGTTGATATGACTTGGACTGAAACACATTTTCTATAGACAAGAATGCAGGTATTATCAGTACCAGAACTTACAACAGCCATCGCGTCTAGGAAACAGTGGATCAAACAAGGAAATCTCTGGAAAGGTGTTTATTCTGTTATTGCTGGTGCCGGCCCTGCTCATGCTGTTCATTTTGCAACATATGAATTTTGTAAAGAAAGACTCAATAAGTCCATAGCTTACAGTACTGAGGTGAGCTTACCTAATGGAGACATGTTGACAATACCAAGTCATTTGATCGCCTCAGCAGGAGCAGGCGCCATTGCTACGTTTTCTCATGACTTTTTGTTGACACCATTTGATGGTAAGATTATATAAATATATGTTTACCTATGCTTATTGTATACATGCACATTATAGTGATAAAGCAGAGGATGCAGATTCAAAGCACGAAATATACATCTGTTAGGGAATGTGCCAAGACGGTGTACAGAGCAGAAGGCTTGAAGGCGTTTTATATTTCATTTCCTACAACACTGTCGATGTCAATACCGTTTCAATCCGTACAGTTTGCAACTTATGAATACTGTCGATCTAAATTGGACCCAGCTGGGACCTACAGCCCAAAGACGCATGTGATTGCTGGTGCTGTAGCAGGAGCAGTCGCATCATCCGTAACAACACCATTGGATGTGATAAAAACATTGTTACAGACACGTGGAACATCAGTAGACCCAGAAGTAAGAGATGTAAGAGGCTTCAGGCAAGCTGCTCGTTTGATTTATAGTCGTTATGGCATCAAGGGCTTCTTTAGAGGATTTCGACCTAGAGTATTAACCAATATGCCAAGTACTGCTATCAGCTGGAGTGTATATGAATATTTCAAGTGGTTTTTAGCAAGCGATTAAGAGGAATTATTTTCATAGAGTGTACATATATCATGTTTATTTAATAGCTTCATCTTTGTGTAAAATAAAACAATAATACAAAAGTTTCTTTATTTATTCATACTTTAATTTTCAAAAAACCTTTCACTCAAAAATGTCTGAAGCATGTATATCAGCTTAATTCTTAGTCTTATATCAGCAACTGTCTTCTTTTCAACCAACTTCTCCATTGTAGTCGCAGCCTTTGATAGAGTCTCGACAATATCCATAATGTTATCTACAGCAATACTCATCCTTACTTCATCTGAAATATCAGGCTTGGCAACCCAAAGTGCTGCTTGAGACGTAAGCATCAACGAGCAACTCTGAATCACATCCAAGGCTTGTTCCAATGGTTCGTCCTTTGCGTCCTGCCACTGATTGATCATGACTATACTTGCATTGATGCATTCGACAAGTGTACCAAATGATGCTTCAGCATCTGTTGCGGCTCGCATGTTGGGACAGATAATCGTATTGCCAAATGGCCATTCGATATCTGGCGCAGTCAGGACGAGTTCTGAGCTACTCAGCACCACAAGGGATGTCATCATGTGGTGTGTGATGGTCAATATGTATCGCAGTGTCTTTTTCATAAACTGGTCTGTCGTCTCGGTATTGTCCGTGCGATATAACTGTGCTTTCATATGTGAGGGGTGTGTGAAGTAATAAAGATAACGTTGAAGTAACAGGAGTGAGCAATCCTTATATGACGTAAACAAGTTGGTAGCAATGTTTGGTATACGCTCTAAATGCTTTGATAATTCAAAAAAGACAGAGTTGATACGTTCCAGTTCTTCTAAAAGTGGCATCGAAAGCGATTCAAGAGGAGCGAGTGCAAACAGTGAATCACTGGAGCTATTTGCTTTTTCAAAGGCTTTGCCAATCTGAGGCCCACAGATCTGTAGTAGATTCACTGTGCTCTTCAACACAATGTCTGACTTGCCATTCGTGCGTAATAAGCTGCTGACTACAGCAAGGATTTGACACCAAATTGAATGCAGAGGATTGCGTTCGACATAACCAGGCTCTTTCTTGGTCTTGTCTCCAAATCGAATAAACAAGTCCAACATGCCTTGCTGTAAGCGTATTGTTAGACGGTTGTTTGTAAGTGTGTCAAAGACATGGTAAGTGACAAGAACTTCTGCAGCTTTTGGTATATTGGCCAAAGTCAGCAAGAAATACAATGCGATTTCGGCATAGGGTGTGATATTAAGGCTATAGACACGATCATTTCCAGTCGCTTGCCTATATAATAAATATTAATATATACAGATATACAGATATACTTTTCTTTATCATACCTATCAATTTCATTCAACACGATGTCAATACCACCATAAAACAATTTCAGTAAGCTATCAATAGTATGATGTGCCTTGAATTTGAAAATCCATGCTTCTTGTAAAATACCATATCGTTCATGTACAAGTTCTTGCAACAAGGAAGTCACTATTGTAATATCCTTGATACAACGATTCACATCTTCTTCGCTTGCTGTAGAGCCTTCTGCGCTATAGGATAGGGCCTTAATCGACAAAACATGGAAGCTATCGCATACAACAGAAAGGACATCTCCAAGACATGTCTGCATCTCTACTGACTTTAAGAAGTTCTTGTTGACAGATTCCATCGTGCCACGAAGAGTGAATATACACAACATCACTGCTTCCAAAAGAGGTCGATGGAAGTAAACTGCCGTCTTATCGCTCACACTATCCTTGTATGCGAGGTTTTCACGAGTAAGCAAATCAGAGAGGGAGATAAGAAGCTGAGAGACTTGCGAAGAGTACTTTTGCTTGGCGGCATCATCTGTACCAGATAGCGTAGGCTTTGACAAATAGATCCAGTCTTCAATCAGATTTCTGATCATATGCACCAGCATACTATATGAAGTGAGCGTCACACCGTCTTGTCTTTGCTCTGACTTTGCTTGTACGATCAGTTCAGAGAGGAATCCACGAAGGTTATCAAAGCTGTCCACATTGTTCTTTTCAACCCATATCAAGGCACTGGTATGGCGTGAACAAGTCTCAATAAAGGATTTGAAGGAACGAAACAAGACGATTTGAGAATCAACAACAGAATAGCTGTGGTTGGCTTCGATGATCTTTTTGAGCAGACCGTCTGACAATCTTTCAACTTCCAAGGCTGCATTTATCTTAGGTGTGATTAGCATATTGTCTCTGTCTGCAAGATTGTATTTTTCCTTGATGTCGCTGTATAAAGAAAACACACGGCTCACAGCCATGCGTAAGTTGTATAGGTACGAATCACCATACTGACGAATATCTCCAGGAGCTCCATCATCACCCGTGCCAATTACAGCCGATTTGAAAAGCAAAGCAGACAGGTTTTCAATACCAATTGTCCTTAAGAGAGCACTAGCCGAATGATGAACTGAGTCTGTCAAGCTCGAATCGAAGCTGTTCTTTATATATTCTTGGCGCATCTGTGAAAGTCTGGTGGGCTCACACAGCTTGATCAAAAGGGCCTTGAGACCACCAGGAAGAGCTTCGAGCATCTTTGAGAGATTACCATTCTTTGACTTTTCGTTACCAGCTGTCAGATGAATCTCGTAAGCAATCACACGTAGAGCAAATGCCTTACTCAGGTTCGAGCAGCACAACTGACGGACAGACAAGTCAAAATGATCATTTTCACCAAAATCGGTTTCTAAAAAGTTTACGCTCTCCAAGGTATCAGCCGAGGTGTCAACTTCCATGGAAGGATTCAACAGTATCTTGCCAATGACATCCCATAGGGCACTGTCACTACGCGAATTTTCAACTAGAGCATAGTGATCAAACGCGGTCTGCCAGAACGTAGATAAGAAACGCAACACATTTGACACAACAGATGGCTTTTCCAATGACAGACTAGACCATTTCTCGAGCATGCTGATGGCAGCACGAATAGCAGACTCCGTATTGCTCACAGCCGTTGTTTGGGTTAACGTTTGACCACCTAACTGACGAACAGCAGATTTAGGACTGGGCATAATAAAGTCTCCACAATCTAAGAAGAGGATGGCCAGACTGGGTTGAGTTTCCAACAAAGTACTAATGAAATGCCAAATAGCAGATAACAAGGTTTCATTCTGTGAATCGTCCTTTGCAGTTTCAAGATAGGCACGAATGATAGTATGTGCTTCAGCGGTATCGCCAAGGTATTGTACAAAGCTGGGAACAGTCTTCCAAGCAGATGTTGTACGGCATAAAAGTGTCAGAACATAGGTTGCTTGAATAGGTAAGGCAATGTTGTGGCGATAATTGATGTGTTTAGCGATACGCAACAAGAAATCAGAGCAGCTTCCACTAGCAGTACGCTCAAGCATTAAACGTTCAAGTGTGCTTTCACTAATATCCGTTCCTTCATCAATATGTTCCAAACGTCGTTGAAGTAAGACTTTGATGAAAACAAGAGTGAGTGCTGTCAGTTCTTCAGTACGCTGTGCTTCTTTGATATGACTTGATTTATAGAGAGCATTAGCCATGACAGCCCCATCAGAAATTACATCAAGCAAAGGAGATACATGATAAATACCACCATCGTACAAGAAATTGCTAAAGATGCCGTCGCGTATTCTGCCTAGACTCAAACCGGATGTGCTAAGCTGGTTGGATTCTCTAAAGTAATTACAGATCACGATAAAGATAGAAAGTAGCTTGATGCCAATAAGATATCTCTCAGAGACCTTTCTATAGCGCCAACCAGAATAGGAAGGAAACACTTCGAGCATAAGATAATGCAAGCAAACATAGAGTGTCTCCATCTGTGCTTGAGCATCAGGTGAAAAGTTCACGGCTGCTTCTCTAACCCACCAGTTACTTTGAATATCATGAACGAGTCCATGGACCAGATCCAAGAATGACAATAGCAACTCGTAGCTTCCTAGTGTGCATTCAAACTTGGCGACAATTTGTTGTATATTCAATGCACGACTTATAATGAATGGTAGCTTGGTCATGTTACCTGTTCCAGGAACAGGTGTGATTCGAGGAAGCAGAGGTGATTTTTGTAAATAAGGCCAAATGTATTGACGATAGTAAGGAAGGAGCATTGTCAAGCATTTGATAGCTAATGTCGCAATAGGAATAGGACATTGTTGAATGCCACTGCTGAAACTGAGAATATCGCATAGGATGGAGATAAGGATAGGTACTTCATATACTTTACCAGGCACAGCTGCTGTTTTCTGAACATGGTCCACCAAGACTGGGCCTAGCTTTGGGCTATTGGATAGTACACGATAGATCAAATTGAGAATGCTGATGACAGCTTCAGGATTTTCACCGACCAATGTGTAATCTTCATCTGTAACGTCAACAACTGCAGTAGGCTTACTCTGTTGCATCGAATTTGCCAAAATAGATGCCAACATATGCCATCCAGAATATCCGTGTGCAAACTGTACAATACGACTATCTTGTGTGCTTGACAATAATATGCCACGGGATTGTCGAGGAATACTGATACCGGTGATATAGTCTAATGAGGGTGTAATTTGTAAATTTTGGTCAACTTGGATAACTGGCACGTCGTTCTCTACAGCTGCTGAAGTAAAGATTGTATCCTTTAATACCACGGTGATCGTCGGTAGCGCGCTCATAAATTCATATACTTTGTCAACAGGTTTCTCATCTATTCTTGTATCAAGTTCATTGGTAGTAGCCAAGGAAGATAACATGTCTGTAAGATGAGTGAAGTAGACAGGAAATCTACCAAGTGCAGCAGTCAGCAAAGGATACTGATTTTGTTGATCGAAGTCTTCATTCCAGAAATCTTGACATAGCATTGGCTGATCTCGGTAAAGCAAAGTAAAGCAGTTGATCAGACTAGAGTAACTTTCCATTGGAAGGAACTGAGGAAGTGTAGTTGCCAAGAATGACTTTAAGAGTAATCTAATAACTACTCTGTAGCCAACACTGTTCACATCATCCTCATCACACAGGTTACTTTCAAGGATAGCGTTGATCGTATCAAACACATTCAATTTCAATGCACGTCCTACCAAGGTACGTTCCAGATGATCAGATTGTTGAATCGAAATGGTTCTCTCTTCAGCTGCGTCAAATCCGGCGGCTCGAGCAAATGATCTATCAGCCAAAACAGAAGAGGAAATCTGTTGTTTGCCTTCGAGTAACAGCTTTACTTGATCATATCCACTAGGAAGACTTGGTGCAGCATCGACGGCATTTCGTAAGCAAGTAAGAAAGTATGACCAAGCGAGCAAAAATGCCGAATGCTCTGGACTATTTCCCATGTGTAAAACAATTTGATTGATTTTTGCTACTGCATTGGGTGAATCAATCAAACTTGCGTCTGCTGCTGCGGGATCCAATTTTACATCCAGCGTAAGATAGGGAGGGATAATCATGCTGACAGCAATCAAAATAGAGATACAGCTGACTTGTTCACGAATCCTCTCTCCTTCTGTATCTAAAGCATAGCTGCATACTTGGAATCTTCCAAAGCTGTTGACCTCAAGCTCTTGAACAACTGACACAATAAAGTCTGGTGATAATGACGTTGTAATGGTAAACAAGAACAAAATTTCCAACAAAGCCTTCTGTTCTTTTATATTTTGCTTTGCCCATGCTGTTGACCATCCAGGAAAGGAGTAAGTACGCGTTGGTACCTGAGATCGAATAAGCCTGGAGAATTGCAAGAGAAGTTTGTTGACGAATGGTATATTGTTGGTGCTGTCTTCAAATAGCTTTTCAACCATGTTACTTGCAATATTGTTGAATGGATGTTCACTATCAGAAGATATACGCTGCAGGGATTGAATACATTCCAAAAGTGAAATACGCTCTTCAAAGTAGAAATTGGCGATATTCATTATCAATTCTGTGTTTTCGTGCAAAGGAATATCTACAGAGTTTTGTTGGTCAACATATTCATGGTGGTCTGCCTTGTAAGAATGCCAAAGAGCAGCACATTGAAGTTCGTTCAGGTTGATGATGTCTGATATCTTCAAGACAAGATCTTTTTCTTTTTGGTCAAAGGTAATTGATTTTCCATTGATGCTCACAGTTGTACCTGTTGTCAATTTGGAGCGAGATTGAGCTGAAGTAGCTGTGAATGCTTCAATACCAAGTTTAAGTTGATCGTATTTTTCTTCAAGTAGCGTCTGGAGTAGGTCGGTAGAGCATTGTTCAACGCCTCTTTCAATCGTATCGAATAACTTGCGGTAAGTTCTATAATAAAAGCATGAGTCGTGTGTGCCCCAACATATTTCACGTGTATGTATGTGTATGTACCCAGCGAACTTTTGGCTTCGATCGCTTTCTACCATTAATATAATTTATGTCTTCGTTTAAAGAATGGGCCTCAGACAAAGACTAGTAAAAAAAGACACGAAAAAATACAAAATTTTAACCAAATTTTTTGTAGACAGTCTGAGATTCAAAGCGAGACAGAATCATTTTCCAGACAAAAGTGGCAAACATTAAAGCAAGACAACTGTAAGCTTTTTTTATTATAAACTCAAGTCTGTGGTGGATTATTATGGCTTAACATTCAGAATGATAAAGTTACTACCAATGATCTAAGTACACGGCTGTCATTACTGATAAGTTTGCAGGAGGAACAGAAACTGCGTGTCTATGGCTACTAAGATGCGTATAGCCACGTTTATTACTTTCTATATGCTATTTAATGAGCTCAATGCAAGTAATAAAATAGTATAGCTTGCCTTTAAATACCTGTATGGTCAATAATATAAGTTTTAATAAACAAGAAAGTTCTTGAAAAGATAATGGATGTTTTGTCAAATCAAAATAAACGAATATGCTCAACGAGACAAACGGAATTGGGAAATTTGATGTTATTTTCCTTTTAGCAAAACAGAGATACTGTACCTATCCAAATATCCCGATTACACATCTCCCTATTGACGCTTGATTTAATGACGCAAGTTTAAATTGTAGTACTGTTGCATAAATATCTGGGGATATGTCCCTGAATTGTAAGTTATATGACTGGCGCTGTGAGAGTACGAGTTGTACATATTAGCGATTAATGCTTATCAGCTCACTCACTCTTCTATGAAGCTCTTAAGTATACCAACAGAAGTGAACTACTAATTTACTATACATTTTTAAGAAATTATTCGCACGCAATACAAAATCAATAGTAATTAACACTTTAGTTGCTTTTCTATGACTTCTTTAAAAGACAACATGTCATAATACATAAAATGAGCTTGATATTTTGAGAGATAAAAGTTAAATGTGGTCAACGCTTTATAACAAAATGAAAAGTTGTTAGAAGCTTCATAAATAGCCTGATCTTGACTTCTTTTTCTTTTTCTTCTTTGGACCAAAAAGTAAGACCGGCTATTCTCCAGCTAGTCCTAAGGCATACTATATATTTAATCTTGCAAGAAACTGACGCGTAGTATTATAGATCATAAAATCGGAAATAGTACCGGTGCTAACTTGGGGTAGCTTGGTTCTTACCAAATTTTGGACCCATTCGTTTTCTTTCTTGACCTCTCTCTCTTGGCTTCTCTTTGCGTGCTTCTTTTTTTCTCTTCTTTCCTCGTCGTCTTCTACGGGTTGGTTATCACCAATCCTATTTAGTGCACTTCGGGTAAGATATTAATAATCTCTTTACATGTTTATTCACTTTTCTTTCCTCTCCCTTTTTCTCTTATAAATTCTCTTCTTTATAATGCAAGTATTCAACATCAGTGTAAATAAATTATTTACTAATCATTTCTTCATTCATTTTTTTGCTTCTTGAGAGCTCCATTTTATTGTTATTTATTGTCTAAAATTATCATATTTTTATCTGTGTGCGAATAATTTGTGGATAAAGCGTAAGACTAGTATAAAAAAAAAACCTAAAATGCTTTACTATCTGTCAAACATTTTTACGTAATTCACATGTTTAACCATTGTGTCTCCACACAACAAAACTAAAAGCAAGTTTAAATCATGCAAATAATAGGTAAGTAGAGCGCTATCTTGAGGCGCTAGCTGTAACATCATTTTACAATTTGTACCATCGAAGCCTCTACCTAACCTAACGATGTCCAGTGGGATATTCTTTAATGTAATTACACGTGATTATTCTTGGTTCTTTGTTGATAGAACTGACAACATAATTTAGAAATAAAAACTTCTTTTTATCTCTTTTTCTTCTTGAAAAGAAAACTTTATAAGTTCAGAGTCAACGTCAAAGAATATGGAATGATATCTGTTTTCGAGTAAGCCTAGCGTGGCGCCACACATTGAAAAAGTTTGTTGTTGACATCATAGGTAGCGCTTGTAACATGAACCCTCTCATGAGTTTCCTCGTGCGTGTAGTGTATGCCGCAACTATAAATAGCCGGCCATTTCGCTACCACCTGTATCCAACAGGAATCCCACGCACAGATGATAATCAGCAAGAGGAAGATAAAGTTCAATTTAGTAAAGATGGGTAATGGTTGACAGTTCTCAGCGATATCTAATCTTTTTCTATTCTTTTATGGTAGTCAATCATGCTCAGGTTATTCAATTTCTGAACCTAACACACTTGTCCAGTGATCCAATGAATGAAGGAGTATATGAATGTATATCTTTGACCAGCAGCGACATACTTTCATTGGTTTGGGAAATATACCGATTTATTTTACAAAAAGAGCATTAATGCATTCAGCAATGGTGTATCAACAAAGCAGCCTTCATAGCTGCTCACTTGAAAAGAAGACTTCTTAGCAGCAGGAAAGTCAGCGTAAGCTCACTGTTTGTTGCAAAGGAATTGTATATTGGTAAAGAAATAATATTTTAGATATCATTGGTATGTTTTGATATAAGATTATAATACTCTCTATTTTACAATAGAGTATATATTCTATTTTCTTCTGTCGCATCTAGTGTGATAAATAAGTAGTGACTGGGCTTAAGGAATTGATCTAGCCATGAAAGAAGCTTTTGAACATGTGGATGCTAGATTGAAATTACTTGTTCATGGTATAATTGGCCCAATTCATGTAGTATTTATGCATATTATTGGCCTTCGCTGCGACCAGGAGAGGGTGAAACCATAGGGAACCGGAGAACGTATTGGGAGTATGTTTAAAACTAATGTCGGTTGATTGCACAGTAAATGACATTTTGACGGCTCGAGTAAAAATTTATTGATGCTTGCTGATTGTCTGCCATTCAAAGGATAAGTGAATATAGAAAGCAGCTTAGTGTTTTTGCCTTGTAGACGTTTATCCAGGTTCTGTTACAGAAAGCGCCGTTTGGTAGCCTTGAGTAAGCGAATGCCGAGATCGTTGTTGATAGATGATACCATCCTCCAAAGCGAAGTGCAAGAAAGAGTATGCCACTGATGTTCTCTGGTGGTACTAATGTACGGCAATAGTCAAGTGAGTAAAGTCTCGTTTAGCAGAGATAGAGAGCGAAGAAGAAATTGTGAGTGTGGTATATTGACTCATTCCAACATTAAAGGCAGCTTGGACATATGAAGCATAACCTTAGTGGATGCATTGCCTCGAGCACCATAAATTCTCTTGATACAGGGATCATGGGCTTCCTTCAGTGCATAAAGCTGTGATCTTGTAAAACGATTAACGACCAAGCCGTATTCAAGCTGATGACGAACGATGTACGCATAGAACCTGCTGCTGAGAAGTTTACAAAAACTAGAGGGTTTTACATCAAAGGATGTCAGCACATTCATTGTTGTAATAGCCTGTAGCTGTTACATCGGTTAAGTTACTCTGGTTTAAGGTGGCCACCCGGCTTGAAAGGTACACCGAAGTAAGCAAATGCAGTTTCCCATGGCAATGAGTGACCGCAGCGCGTGTACGTGATTGGGCTTATACTACTGTCTAAATAATACACTTGGGCGAATTTCATTTGTATCACATCTGTATATTGTGTTCTGTACATTTCTGCAACAGATCAACCATATGTGAGCGTTCGGCAATGAGGATCATGTCGTCGGCGTAGAACAGACAGCTAAGTGAGGCATCATTTTCAATGGTTCCAAGTTAGAAGTAAGAGATTGTGGACGTAGTTGCGTTGACAGTCGGATGATATACCGAGTATACATATGATGAGAGTATAGACCCTTGCAAAACTCCTGTTTTTGGCGCTCAAAAATTATAAATACAGATCTTTTCTTGTTCTAAACGTGATCTTTTTTTTTTCTCATTTCAATTCTTTATATTTTAACATGAGCGCATTGTTTTATTTGAAGACTGGCATGGAAATGTTGCTGATGAGGCGCGACCTTTAGTGAAGTTTCACCGGCTTACTCAATTTTGATGGAAAATCAAAAGATGAAGGCATCTGAATGAAAGTGAGCAACTTCAAACGTGATTATGTGCGCTATATCTTCCAGGATAAGGTTCGGCTTTTTGATCTGAAGATTGACAAGTGCACGAGTGCTGCTGCTGCTGCTGCGAGCCAATTGGGCATTCACATCCGGGCAGCTCAGAGATGGGTTAAGCAGTACAGTATGTTTCCCTGAGAGCATTTTTGACATTTGTAAAAGAATAGGTCGTAAGTGCATTCTTACCGAAAAGCATAAAATGGCTGTTACCAACTTCATTAATGCCAATCCATCTACTTTTGTGGTTGAAATGACTCAGCATTTGTTGAATCAATTCAATGATCTTAAATATTCTTGTAGCACAGTTTATAATTTCATGAAAAGCGAATGTAATCTTTCCTTGAAAGAAATTGGTCATTATGTGCAAGAATAAATGTTGTCAATCAATTACATCTTGTGAATTATATCATGATGCGTCATCAAATACTGCAGATTACAGATGCCACGAATCAATATTGTGGGCGTAGTAATAATATCGTATAAACATGATAACTCTGGCTTGTGTACGAAATATATATTGATTATACTACGTCAAAGGGCGTAATCTTCTTCGATATAAACGTTGAAATACAGTATCAGGGCCAGCCTGTCTTCAATAGATGCGCCATTAGATACAATTTTGGCATCAGTTTGGCCAAAAAGCACAGAATAGTCAACCGTCAGTCCATGGACGTTGAAGTTGTTGATAATTGCTTCCAGTCTACTGTTAGGAATGGTTCAAATTGATCGACGAGGATTTTTTCATTTTAGTATTTTGAATAAATTAAATTTGATGCTTAATTCTTGTTGGTCGCAGAAAAGGAGCGCGTCCTTGAGATGTACACCAAAAAAAAAAAAATGGACAATATCGATTGGAAAAGTTGTTGATGACCGAATAAAGCAACCTGTTGAAGAGTCTGTACATAAGTACTTATTGCACTCAGTAATAATTGATACCAATGATTGTATTTGGAAGAAATGCCTCACTCATACTGGGTTGAACATAATTAGGCAGTATAGATTGAAGCAGCTGCTAATTATCCCGACTGAGCTGTAAGCCTGCTTTAACCCATATGATAAAGCTTGGAAGTCAGGCAAAGATATGTACCAATTTGCAGTCAGTCAAAAAACATGACCCTATAGAAGAGTTTAGCGAGAAGTGGGTAAGAGACAGCATCCTCAGAATGCCAGATTGTTTCTCTACAATGACGTGCTTGAGCTCAATGACTACTTTGAGGCTGATTTTCTGCATGAACTCTGGTTCATTGTGTACAGAACCTTCAAGAGCAAATTTAGGGCGTTGCTCGGCGAAAGAGCAAGTGTGGCTGTTTCTCTTACCCGAAATGAGGAAAGAGGACTGGAAGCAAAAGACAGGATGCAAGAAAAGCCACAGGTGCTCAAGTGGATATCCTGTTCAAGATATCTAATATCGAGCTTGATGCTTATGAAGTAGGTCGAGACAACGTTGCAATAATAGACAACAAATACCTTGATGACAGCCTAATAAAGCTTCTCAAAACCTTAAGAGATATACTTCTGTTGTTGATGCAGAAGAACCCTGAGCAAATGAATAATGTTGCAAGTATTGGTTTCTTAATAATGAGTAAGCAAAAAATATAAAGGTAGTAAAGAAATATTTAATAATACAGTTTTTAAGATTAACTTTGGAGGGAGACCATCATAATGTCCCAAACATCTTACTTGTATGCTTAACCGGTAACACGCCATTGAATGTTATCAGATGCATCAACGACTATACCTTCCTTTCTCCATCATGTATCCTCTTTCGTTTCTTCTCAATAAGCTTCCTACGAGTCTTCGCGTTTCCCCAAGGTATGCTGACTCTTGATGGTTTTATTGGCCGATTATCTGTTCCATCCTCTTTGAAATAGATCAATTTCAGCACGGCTGCTTTTCTCGGGAAGCCAACTCTCCGGGTGGACGTTTCCTTCGCTGACTTGATAGTACCAGAAAATTCTTAGCCTCTTTCGTCTTTTAATTGCATTACACCTTTTTTTACTCTTGTGACCAAAGGGGCATTTGGATTCCTTACAGACCTTCTGACCTCGTCCAGGCGGTTATTTAAACAAAATACGACTTCCATTTCTGAAAATGCAAATTTGATTTTGATTGGTCGACGACATTGATTTTGATTGTTCAACGACTGGCTGCAACTTTGCTTGTTGGAAGCACTGTCCACACGCTTAAAGAGGTACTATCATTTGTGTAATGGGTTGCGCTTAACTCATACAATGCTTCTATTTTGTTCTACATTGGTTCGTGTAATACGTAGGCACCGAAAGCATGAAGCTCTCTTGTTAAAAAAAAAAGGAGGATTGTTCTAAGCTAATTTTATAAAATAAATAGTATTTGAATCGGTCTTTTACACTTCAAGATACTTAAATCAAAAAGAAAGAGATTTGTATTTTTTTTTTTTAATATCCAAAAGAGCATCGCGCAGGGAGCTGACATCTTTAGTTAGGGCCTTTCGCAAAATAACTCATTCCTGTAATTTCGTGTCATGATCTTGTTTAAAAGAAAGAAAGAAGCTGTAAAAGCGGGATATACTGAAAAACCTAGACTTTACCAGATGAGACAAGCATTTAGAAAGATACACTATAGTTTCATAAATGACTATTATAATTGGATGGGCTATGGTCATACCGAAATTCATAAAGTAAGCGTATTGCTTATACATTAGAGCAGACTGTGGCTGTAAAGTGCGCGGGTTTAAGTGTCGCTCTTGAAGGTCGATCATTCAAAGTAAATTAAGCTGTCTCGATTAAGACGACACTTCGGTAAAAAATTAAAGCGAGCTGAATGATTAGTCCAATGAAAAAGAAAGTTGCTTATTTTACAAGAAAACATTTGATCAGTGCGACCCAAACTGCATATAATTACAAAGGCATTTGTAACCCATGGTTATCGTGTAACTTAATGTTACATTTCATACTTTGCAATTTTAACAAGCACTTCCTTTTTTTTTTTAAAAAAAAAAGGCTGTGTGAATGCTTTCCCTGAAGAGAGAGGGAAAAAAAGTAAACTCAGAAAATCAGGGAAAACTCAGGAAAGACTTGCAATATATGAATAATACGGAACGATATGCTGTGATCCCCATTACATAATCGACACTGGTAAATCTAGAATTTTCAAGTTAAAAGGAAGTATCATCGCTTTAATGCAATAACTTGAACGCCATCTGATGCCGAATATCATACAGTATTGTTTAAAAGCTGCCCAACACTTGCTTTATTCTTTGTACAAGTTCAAATGAAAACAAGAGCATTTTTTTACATAATAACAACATGGACCCTGTTTGTTATATCGAGCAACTACTCCGTCTACCCGGCTATCATATGATCATTTATTAGATGCTAATTAAATGCAGTAACGAGTGTACCTCACCCATATTGTTTTTTTGGTTAGGATACGTTGCATTTTTTTGTGCCTTTGTGATTATATTAATATACGTCAGATGCGATGGTGGCCCCCAGGCAGATGTATTTATATATAAAAGCAGCAAGATTTCACTGCAAAGTTACAGAAAATAACTCTAGCAAATGTTGAAATCTGTCATTACATCTCTTTTGGTTGCAAACCTATTGTTCGCCTCAAGTGCACAAGGATGGGTATTGAAAAAAACTTACCAAGGCTCTAGTTTCTTTGATGGATTCAGTTTCTTTACTGATGCTGACCCTACCCATGGCTTTGTTCAATATGTTGACAAGTCAACTGCACAATCTGCTGGCTTGATTTCTACTCAAGGAGGAAAGGTCATCATGAGAGCCGATAATACCACAGTTAGTGCTAACGGCAGACGCTCTGTCAGAATTACTTCCAATGACGCTTATTCCAACTCTGCACTTGTCTTGCTTGACCTTGAACACATGCCAGTCGGGTGCGGCACTTGGCCCGCTTTTTGGATGGTCGGCCCTAACTGGCCCAACAGCGGTGAAATTGATGTATGTATATCGTGGAAATTGCCTGGGAATTTAGAGTTAGCTAACATAATTATAGATTATTGAAAATGTAAACAAGGCTACTCTCAACCAAGTTACTTTACACACCAAACAAGGATGTAGCTTTGCTGGTGTTTCCCGCACACAGATTGGAAAGACTTTGACCGATAACTGTGACGTCAATGCTGCTGGCCAACCAAGCAATGCTGGCTGTGGTGTTCAGGCTACGAACGCAAACACCTATGGTGATGGTTTGAACAACATTAGGGGTGGTGTTTATGCTACTAGAATGACAGCAAGTCAAGGTATCCAAGTTTGGTTCTTCCCTAGAAACAACATCCCATCTGATATCTCCAGTGGTAATCCTAACCCACCCTCATGGCCAACTCCTCTTGCTTCCTTCCCATTCCAATCTGGTCATTGTACCATTGACTACTTCAATAATCTTCAAATTGTATTTGATTTGACCTTCTGTGGTGATTGGGCTGGCTCCGTCTATGGTTCTTCTGGCTGCCCTTCTAACTGTAATGATTATGTTAAGAACAACCCAGGCGCATTCAGTAACGCTTATTGGTCTGTCAATTACGTTAAAGTCTACCAGTAAACCCACTTTATTTAAATTATGTATTCTTGTACAAATAAAAAAATAGTTCTAGCTCCAGTAATCACAGATAGATCAAACAGCTAATGCATACAAACTGTAATAACTTCCTTTGAACATTTTTCTGCATGTATTGCTCGCTAATTATAAAAGATTAGGCGAGGCACACAGATTGTAAAATATATATATAACAGATTAGTACTGTATGATTTGTTTATTTGTCTTTATCTAAAGCAGAATCTATAAGGTGTTTATATAAACGCAGCCCAACCTTCATAAGAAAAAAACGTAAGTAAGCCTTTTTCTAAGAAAATATCGTATTTAAATACCTGGAAACATTTTTGATAAATTGCCTATATCTGTGGCAGCTTTGATCAGCTTGTCTACTTCAGCTTCAACCCCTGACTCTTCTGCCGTAGCATATTTTTTCTTCAACACACCCATCGTTCTAGATGCTCGATCCTATTGAAAGCAAGAATGAATGACATATGCTTAAGCTAAAGTTATGGTTACCCTCGCATCAGACTGTGACCATTCGTTAAACAACGTTTGAAACACGCCTGTCAGTGCTTGGCGATTATTGAGTAGGATTTGTAAAACTATTTCACAAGTCTTGCGAAACTGTCCTTCATAGCCTACGATTCCCATAGCATCTACTAGGTTGTGAGTAAGTCTAAACGGTACTACTTCAGGTACATTCAGTCGTAAGCCTTGATCGAATAACATATTCAAATCAACATGAACTGTATCTCCATTTGTACGATCGAAAAGAATATTTTCAGCATGTCGATCGCCAAGTCTACAGAAGAAATCTAGTTAAATTTATGCAGCATACACCATAAAATGCCTTACCCAAGCATATGTCCTACAATAGACATAACAGCCAGTGTCTTTACATATCTTGTTCGACTAGCTAACCATTGATTAGGTTCAGGAAAGGACTTCAAAAACCATTTATGTAAAACAGGTGGAGATCTATTCCATACTGTAAATACTAAAAAGTAGCACCAATAAGTGAAAAGCACTTACTGCGCTAGTACTCTCTTGAATAATTCTAAAAGCTCTTCGTCTGTTAAGCCTGGTAACTGCCTTTTGTTTCTATATTCTATTTGTACTTGCTGCGTAACATAAATATCATTCAAGCATTATATGAGTACGAAATACTTACATTTGCCTTTATACCCAAATTATTATAGATATCAGTAGCAATGGCTTTCAAAGGGAACAGGTTATCAATCCATTCAATCAGGCCCCATTCATCACCCAGTGGAATTACAGCATACGTTCTTATATCTAATATAACAAAAAAGCATTAGACTAGCACATATCCATCATAATCATTCTGTTATTACATAGATTTCTGTCTCTTGAATCAGGATTTTTCTTCAAAAAGGAATTAATCATGTAGTTAAACTCCATCATACGTGCATCCTTTCGAAGATCATCATTGGCCTTACACAAGAACTTGTAGTTCCTTCCATCGCTTCCGACAAAAGTGATTCTTTTGGGTTGCTGTAATGATCTCATGACATCTACTTCAGGCATTACCTCTATTTACAATAAATTATTCAAGGCATTCCCTTTTGACAGTTCTTCTTACTCGTAATCGTTACTATTTCACCAGGGAAAGGATCAAAGGTTTCACCTTTTTTGATTAATTCTGGTAAACGTGGAAATAGGCTGCTTTCTCTTGGGACGGTTAATACAAAGCCATCAAAGTTTAGCACTTGCTTCAATTTAGGTATATCCTTCAAATTTAGCGTTGACTGTGCTCTGTCTCCTACTGGATATTTGGATATTCTGTGCAAGAAATTTCTAAAGTATGTTGCTTGCTGTGATGATGTTAAATTCGATGAGTATTTATAAGCTTTGTTTTACTTTCTTACTTCTATCACGAGAGGTATCACTGTATTCTGTTTATTTGCCTGAGAGTAATATGTTATTACTATCAAACCAAGACGTTCCCCCTACCTTGACACGGCCAAGTATAGTATTGATTCTATCAGTAAGTAAAGGAGTTCGACCATCAAGAGTATTTAATAAAAGCCAAATAGTGTTTCTTGGGTAAGTAGAAAACACAGCTTCAATAATACAAGATAGAGTATTTGCCATATCAGTATTCCCCACAGTTAGATGCGATATCAGACGGGTTAAAAATTTACCAAACTGTTTATCTTTTTGTTAAACATCTCTTTTTTTTGTTAGCAAAGCCCTTTTATACTTTTACCTGGTATGTAGGGACCTTCGTAAGAGCGGTTCTTATTAGTTCATTGGTTCTTGTTAGTGTCTCTGCATAGCCTTGGCCCTCAGATCTACGCCATTATAAAGTTAGTTTCTGTTTAAACAACCCAAACTCACATACGATTTCTTGTTCTCGTCAGCAAGTGATACCATCTTAACCCAGTAATTAATGAATTTCGACATGGAGGTATAATAATATTTTGATCCACAAGAGAGCGCCTTCAATACTGTTTTTATGATAATTTCATAAACTCTTATGCTATATTCCAGCAGGCATTCATGAATAAAGTGTCATGTATATATAACAACACGTACCATATCGATGGAGGTCTTCCAGCGCATTGCTTACACAAATACACGGCATATTGCACATTTGCCTTTTCTTGTCTGTCATTTATAAAAGTTAATACTCTATTAATCGTACAGTAATACCTTACTTTTCTGGGCCTTTTCTGGCATGAGTCATATAAAATCTGGCCTTTTCACCACTGTAAATAGAGGAGTCCTTCAGATAAAATGAATTAAGGATGATTGCATCGTTCGCAGCAGCACCTTCTTCTAGATTTGTCAACATAGTCACAGCGTCCTGTCTTCTTCCTGTTTGCCAGAGCCATTTTGCCTTTTCTCTATGCGTTATTTCATTACCAGCTCTTTCCGCATTGACAATTGCATCAAGTGCTACAATCAAGTGTCCATTTTTTCTGCTGTACTTGGCAATATCTAGCCAAATGCCACCACAAGATACTGACTGCTGACGTGGTCTGATATCGTACAGGGCCGTTCGTCGAAGTTCAAGTAAATCATGAATATGTTGATATTGTGGCATAAGAAGCTTAAGGGTTCTATTCCACTTGTTCTCGAGTTCCGAGACCTTCTCAATAGGATCTTTTGCCTCCCAAGCTTTCTGTGCGTCTTCTAATTCCTGAAGCTGCTGTAGCTTGAAAATTGTCTGATATGATTTCTGATAGGACTCAATCGTCTTTGCCCCCAAGCTGCTAATCAGATCTCGTCTTGCATGCTCAATGTAGCTCGCCGCTTCAAGGTTTCTGTTCTTTTTCATGCTACCTAAAGCACGTGCAATAAACGACTCTGTTGTCTCTATAGTCTGATGTTTGGAAGCCTCGTCAAGTGCATTCCAATCGCCCATTCTCCAAGCTGCATCCATCTTAAAAGCATTCATATGAGTCGACCAGTGAGGATTTGCATCAACATACTTGTCAGAAAAATATAAAATAGATGCTATTCAATATTAATATAGCAGGCAAATAAGGATGTATGTGCGTACTCACCGTAGCTTCCAGACTTTTTAAGGCATTCCAGGAAGCTCATACAAGCAGATAGATCATGTGGATTCTTTGCAACATTATCCATATGATAAATCTCTGCTTCTTTCCATTTTCCCATATTCTCAAACCGGATAATTTCTTCATCATTACTAAATCTGATGGAATACATGCTGAGTAATGCTTGAAGATCTTGCATATTTTCTGTTTTGACATAAATGTGTCGCAAAAACCTCATCGTCTCTTCGTCTTCCAATAAATTTGAGGAACTTGTTTTGATATAATTTTCAAAATGCATAAGTGCCTGAGGATACGCTTTAGCATAGAACGAAGCTTTGGCCATTAGTTTGTCAGGAATAGCTTCCAAAAAGCGACCAACCATGGTCGTATCTCTAGACCCAGCGCGATACAACCACTGTCGGCAGTGTTCCGTAATAGCAACAACAGCTTGGAGCGATGCTTGGTTCTTTTGATCAGCCTTGTCTAGCTTCGAGTTTGTGTTGAGTACAAGAAGGATTTCATTTACAATGTTTTGAATATCGCTGGCTGATGCGGATAAAATAACATGGAGAATCAAATGTGGTAGTAGATACAGAGCGACATCCAGATTACCATAGTAAACAACTGGTAGGCATGCTGAGAAGATAGGTCGAGCCTCATCATCTGTAATCTTTTCTAATAAGCAGTACCATTGCACAACCCAGGTTGAGACACTATCTGCCTTGGTATATATCGGGTAATTGAATATATATTCAGGAAGTACAACGACATAAGACGACCGTAAGAGAGGCGTTAAAAATTCTTGAATGGAATGAGGAAATCTCTGCCATGTATTAAACACTTTCTCGTATTCTTTGCTGCTTTCCATGGTCTCGACTGTTCTAAATCCAGCATGTTTGAGTAAGACTTGTATCGAGTATGATATTAACTGGTGCATAAATTCATTGTTCACAGCGTGATAAGCAGGTATCAGACAGTTGATGACAATATCACATATGAATTTTAAATTCTCTTCATTGGTTTTAAAATTATTTATAACATATGTCTTGTCGTTGCGAACCTTGACTTGAATTCTACTTGGATCAATAGCATTCAACTTACCAAGACATACACCGACAGCATATGATATTTCTGGATGATTGATGTATTTGTGAGCTAACATCAATAGCTGTGAATAGAGATGTCCCGTACGCACAGCCAGTAGTTCCTTTCGTTCAAGTAACTTGGACATTTTTTGAATACCCAAGAGGATTTCAACATCACTTGGTTTCTGTATGGATGCAAATGCTCTATTGAACTCCCTTATCAGCTGCATCTCCCTGCTGCTTTCGATAAATTCTCTAACGTCTTGTAGCTCATCGAATTGAGGGAGTGGAGGAATTTGGCCATATAAATCCTTTGTAAGTTCATATCGATCTATCAAAAGCTTTTTAATTGTATCTGCTACTAAAATACGAACTGACTGGTTCGAATGACAGATCATGTCTGTAAGCCCGCGGATAATTGTGCTCAAATGTAGCTTTAATCCTTCATCACTTAGGGCAAAGATGAAGCAATTCCACAGACTGAGTGCTTCCATTTCCATATTGTTTATCTCGCTGACAGAATAGAACACCTTGACAAGCTACATTATTGAATATGAATGTGTGCCTTTTTTTTTTCACATAATAACAGCACTTACATAAGTGGCATGGTTTTGAACATTTGACCCTAATAATTTCATGATTTCTTCAAGTGATGACAATGCATAAGGAGGCTCAGGATCTGGTCGCTTTATCTTTTTGGCATTGGTAAATCTTGCAATCTTTTCTAGTATAGCTATAACGTATATTGAAAGATACTTTGATAAATCTATAGTGCCATCAACCATGTTTTTTAACTGATGTAGAGCTTCAATGGCCTAAGATATTCCATTAGCATAATTCATATATTACTCCTTTTCTCTTACCTGTGATTTCTTTTCTAAACATCCTAGTGATAAAGCTAAATCTGTAGTTATTTGAGTCAAATTATTGGAGATTAGCGTTTTAAAAATCGCTTTGGACTTGGACACTCGCGTCAAGCGCTTGATTCCTTGTTCTTTCAGTTTGGAGTTCTGCTCCATTAACAAGGCTATGGTAATATGTAATCCACCTTGTAGGCAAAGTTCTGCCATAGATACAGAAAGTTCTTTTGATATGATCGCCAAAGGGTTTTCATTTGGAGCATAAAGGACAGCATAAGGTAGTGTATATTCAAAGTAGGCTCGCAGGAAGCTTGTTGTATCACAATCAAACAAACCAGCAATTTGGCCAGCAAAGCCAGTGTCATAAAGAAGTGCTCTGACAAGTAACTCGGATAAAGATTTGCAGTGGGGTTTTAAAAGAGATGAGGTGCTTGTATTTAGACAACTAGCTATATCCTTCAACTTTACATAGATATTAGCCTTTTTATATAATGGCTCTGCCTCATGGTTACCTTTTGAATGAGTAAACTGGCCCTTCTATCGTTATCATCCTCCAATGCCGCCAAAGCTTCCACTGTGTGTGACACCATTCCATAAAGTTGTTTGTATACAGAACTGTGTTTTGCGATACATCGCACATCATAAACTTGAGGCCTACATTATGAAAAGTCAAAACAAAAGAAGCAAAAAAA